AACACGCCAGGAACGGCCGAGGCCGCTTCCCGGCTGGCTTCCAGCTGTTCTGGATGCCTCCGCCGAGCCCTGCAACAAGAAGAATGAGACCAACCCTGTGACCTTCCGCGACAACACAACCATTCTCAATCCAACGTGGATTGATTGTAAACAAGTCCGGCTATGCTGAAATTTCCACGGAAGCATTCCGACGTGATGTGCGGGCTACAAAATGCAAATCCTGAAGGTGCGCAGAAGCAATCGACGGCATCGCACGGCCTTCGATTGAAGATCCCTCGGCAACCGCGCTCACGGGGGCTGCGGAAACCTTCACAGCACGCGGATTGCTAAGAAGCGACGCATGCAACTCTGTCCGTGCAAGGCCTGGAGAGCTGTTTTTGCCCAGCCTCGGCTTTGCAGGCTTCTGCTGATCCGTTTCGCTGACGCGCGTCATGCCGACGGCACTGCAAGTTCCCGTGACGAGTGGCAGCCCAGAAGGGGCGCTTGTGTGCCCTCAGAGGAGCAGCATTTCACATTTAAGAGCGCCTGTTGTTCCCGCAGCACACTCATCTCCTTGCTCTGCTGGCCACGCCGGCTGAGTTCACTGCAGCTCCGAGCTGCGGGAAGTCCTGGGCGGGAGCCAGCAAGCGAGATTCGCACATAGGCTCGAACAGTTCAGACACTTGGCTTCCCGCATCGACGGACCAGCTCAACATTCCTGCAGCAGACGGGCAAAGGCTGCACTGGCATGAGCTGCAACGGAAGCACGGAAGGCCGAGGGCCAGGCTGGACCGCGGGAGGGGCGGGGGGACTGTCAACATTGGCAAACTAGTCTTTCTGGATCCAAAAGAGCAGATGCCCGAGTCAACATTACCGGAATTACCGGCTACGACTACGCCTTCGACTTTACTACACTTGCAAACGACTCTCATTCTCTGTTCAGACATGTTCAGACTGCCCGTGTACCTCGCAGTTCGGTCGTTTCTCGTCTGCAGCACAGTCTTGATCCTATCTGAGGTCCTCAAGAACATCGGGTGCAACCGATGTGCAACCGAGCCTTCTTATTGCTCGGCTGCAGAGCTTTATTGCAAAGCAATTTCCAGCACCTGGCCGCGATGTTTGCCTCGACATTCTGTGCGAGTGCCATGGCGTGGATCTGCTTTGCTTCAGCTGAGACTGAGGCTTCGAAGTTGTGTGGACATGCTTTAAGGATTGCCTGACTTTGCGATGAGCCGAGCGCTTTCCGAGTCTCCACGTCTCGTAGTTCGGGTATAGTACCCGAACTACGAGACGTAGAGACTCGGAAAGCGCTCGGCTCATCGCAAAGTCAGGCAATCCTTCGACTGGAAAGTCGTGCAAGCTGTCAGCGACGCATGCTTGCGAACCAGCTGCTATTACACTGCTCGCCCGTGAAATTCTTGCAAGGCATGATTACGCGCTGACAGCTTGCTGACGAATCCTGAATTTCAAAGCCTGCAGTTTTTACAGGCCTTGGAGCCCTGCGCCAGGAGAAACAGGCTGTCACGGAGAACTGGCTGCGACCGTGCTGCTAAGGTACGTGCTGAAGTAGACATCGCTCAAGTCTGCATCCTTGACGCAGGTGGCTCCAAGTCTCAGGCACATTCAGGCCCCTTTCACCTCACAGCGATTGAAGCATTGGAGCATCCAGTCCAAGCGGAAGCTACTAGCAACACGAGGACAAGGTCATGCGCACTCCACGCGAACGAGGGTTTCGCACCCACTTCGAAACAGGCAACTAAGCGCAGAGCACGCCACACCCACTTGTTGGGCCCCGCAGCTGCTCCGTGAAAGCTCCTGAGCATCGCTGATGCAGCAGGAGGGCAGACGCTAGCGACTTTCCTTCTGATTTCGCACTGCTCCGGAACAAATGCTCGGCCAGTTTTCATAAATCTAAACCATAGACCCGAGGGCCGGGCTTGTGAGAGTCTCGCCAGTTGTTCTGGCGGGAGCCGGGCTCATGCCCGTACCTTGGCGCATGGCACCGGAGCAGTTCGGCGATTCAAGTGATTACATGACCATACCGCGCAACTTTCGCGACTAAGAGACCTGCCACGGGGATCTGTGCCAGCCTACAGCCAGGCTCTCACAGCATTGACCACATGCCAACGTGCATCCGACATCCAACGCGGCCTTTCTGGTGTTTTTTCTTCGACCTGAAGATGTGCAGGCAAAGGCTCTCCACATTTCCAACACGCCAGGAACGGCCGAGGCCGCTTCCCGGCTGGCTTCCAGGTGTTCTGGATGCCGCCACCGGGCCCTGCAACAAGAATAATGAAAAAAACCCTGTGACATTCCGCGACAACACAATGATTGTCAATCCCAAGGTGGATTGATTGTAAACAAGTCCGGCTATGCTGAAATTTCCACGGAAGCATTCCGACGTGATGTGCGGGCTACACAAGCCAAATCCTGAAGGTGCGCAGAAGCAACGGATGTCATCGGACGGCCTCCGATTGACGATCCCTCGGCAACCGCACTCACGGGGGCTGCGGCAACCTTCACAGCAGGCGGAGTGCTTAGAAGCGACGCACACATCTCGGTCAGTGCAAGGCCTGTGGTGTCTTTTTCGCCCAGCCTCGGCTGTGCAGGTTTCTGCCGTTCCGTTTCGCTGACGCGCGTCATGCCGACGGCACTGCAACTTCCCGTGACGAGTGGCAGCCCAGAAGGGGCGCTTGTGTGCCCTCAGAGGAGCAGCATTTCACATTTGGAGCGTTTCCAACAACACACTCATCTCCCTGCTGTGCTGGCCATGCCGGCTGAGTTCACTGCAGCTCCGAGCTGCGGGAAGTCCTGGGTGGGAGCCAGCAAGCGAGATCCGCACAAAGGCTCGAACAGTTCTCACACTTGGCTTCTCGCATCGACGGACCAGCTGAACATTCCTGCAGGAGACGGGCAAAGGCTGCACTGGCATGAGCTCGAACGGAAGCACGCAAGGCCGAGGGCCAGGCTGGACCGCGGGAGGGGACGGTCAAAGTTGGCAGACTGATTTTTTCTGGGTCCAAAAGAGCCGATGCCCGAGTCTTATAATGCTTGGGAATCCAAGAGACGTGCAAGTGGCTTGCCACACCATTACCTGTTCAGACTGCCAGTGTACCTCGCAGTTCGGTCGTTTTCGTCTGCAGCGCTGATTTGATCTCATCTGAGGTCGTCAGGGACATCGGTGCATCTGTTTCGCGTCCGAGCCTTCGTTTCCCTCGGCTATAGCGTTTCATTGCAATGATCAGATGCAAAAGGAGGCAAGTTCCAGCACCTGGCCGCGATTTTTTCCTCGACATTCAGTGCCATTGCCATGGCCTGGATCTGCTTTGCTTCCGCTGAGACTGAGGCTTCGAAGTTGTGTGGGCATGCTTTCTATGCCACTGTGTGCCCTGTGATGTTCTGTGCAACTACGCGAACTAGGAGACGTGGAGACTCGGAAAGCGCTCAGCTCATCGCAAAGTCGGGCAATCCTTCGACTCGAAAGTCGTGCAAGCTGTCAGCGACGCATGCTTGCGAAGCCGCTGCTATTACACTGTTCTTGCCCGTGAAATTCTTGCAAGGCATGATTACGCGCCGACAGCTTGCTGACGAATCCTGAATTTCAAAGCCTGCAGTTTTAACAGGCCTTTGAGCCCTGCGCCAGGAGAAAAAGGCTGTCACGGAGAACTGGCGCCGCGACCGTACTGCTACGGTACGTGCTTAAGTAGACATTGCTCAAGTACGCATCCTTGACGCAGGTGGCTCCAAGTCTCAGGCACATTCAGGCCCCTTTCACCTCACAGCGATTGAAGCATTGGAGCATCCAGTCCAAGCGGAAGCTACTAGCAACACGAGGACAAGGTCATGCGCACTCCATGCGAACGAGGGTTTCGCACCCACTTCCAAACAGGCAACTAAGCGCAGAGCGCGCCACACCCATTTGTTGGGCCCGGCAGCTGCTCCGTGAAAGCTCCTGCGCATCGCTGATGCAGCAGGAGGAGCAGACGCGAACGATTTTCCTTCTGATTTCCACTGCTCTCGATAAGATTTAAACTTTGAAACCATAGATTCGAGGGCCGGGCTGGCGAGTCTCCTGCCAGTTGTTCTGGCGGGAGCCAGCCTCATTCCCATACCTTGGCGCATGGCACCGGAGCAGTTCGGCGATTCAAGTGATTACATGACCATACCGCGCAACTTTCGCGACTAAGAGACCTGCCACGGGGATCTGTGCCAGCCTACTGCCAGGCTCTCACAGCACTGACCACATGCCAACGTGCATCCGACATCCAAACGCCGCCTTTCTGGTGCTTCTTCTTCGACCTGAAGATGTGCGGGCAAAGGCTCTCCACATTTCCAACGCGCTAGGAACGGCCGAGGCCGCTTCCCGGCTGGCTTCCAGCTGTTCTGGATGCCGCCACCGGGCCCTGCAACAAGAACAATGAAACGAACCCCTGCGACATTCTGCGACAACACAATCATTGTCAATCCCAAGGTGGATAGATTGTAAACAAGTCCGGCTATGCTGAAATTTCCACGGAAGCATTCCGACGTGATGTGCGGACCACACAAGGCAAATCCCGAAGGCACGCAGAAGCAACGGATGTCATCGGACGGCCTCCGATTGACGATCCCTCGGCAACCGCGTTCAAAGGGGCTGCGGCAACCTTCCCAGCAGGCGGCAGCCGGAGTGCTGAGAAGCGACGCGTACGACTCTGTCCGTGCAGGCCTGGGGTGCTTTCTTTGCCCAGCCTCGGCTGTGCAGGTTTCTGCTGATCCGTGTCGCTGACTCGCGTCATGCCGACGGCACTGCAACTTCCCGTGACGACGAGTGGCAACCCAGCAAGGGCGCTTGTGTGCCCTCAGAGGAGCAGCATTTCACATTTGGAGCGTTTCCAACAGCACACTCATCTCCCTGCTGTGCTGGCCATGCCGGCTGAGTTCACTGCAGCTCCGAGCTGCGGGAAGTCCTGGGTGGGAGCCAGATGAGCCAGCAAGCGAGATCCACACAAAGTCTCGAACAGTTCAGACACTTGGCTTCTCGCATCTGCAGCCCAGTTGAACATTTCTGCAGGGGACGGGCAAAGGCTGCACTGGCATGAGCTGCAGCAAAAGCACGCAAGGCCGAGGGCCAGGCTGGACCGCGGGACGGGCGGGGGGACTGTCAACGTTGGCAAACTACTCTTTCTGGGCGCAAAACCGCAGATGCCCGATTCCTACTGATTGGGACTCTCAGACACGTGCAAGTTGCTTGCCACGCAACTACCGGTCCCGCAAGAAACTACGACCACCCGTCAACCTTACTACACTGGTAAACAGACTCGCCTTCTCTATTCAGACTGCCAGCACACCGCCAGCAGACCGCCAGTTCGGTCGTTTATCGTCTGCAGCGCAGTCTTGATCCTATCTGAGGTCCTCAGGGCGGCGTGTAACCGATGTGAAACCGAGCCTTCTCAACGCTCGGACAGAGCGTGTCTTGCTTTCCTGTGCATCTGACCATTGCAATGACAGTGTCATTGCAATGGTCAGATGCACAGGAAAGCAACTTCCAGCACCTGGCAGCGATTCTGCTTTGCTTCCGCTGAGACTGAGGAATCGAAGCTTTGTGGACATGCTTTCCATGCCACTGTGTGCCCCGTGATGTTCTGTGCAACTACCCGAACTACGAGACGTGGAGACTCGGAAAGCGCTCAGCTCATCGCAAAGTCGGGCAATCCTTCGACTCGAAAGTCGTGCAAGCTGTCAGCGACGCATGCTTGCGAAGCCGCTGCTATTACACTGTTCTTGCCCGTGAAGCTCTGCAAGGCGCGTTTACACCGTCACAACTTGCTGACAATTCCTGAATTTCAAAGCCTGCAGTTTTTACAGGCCTTGGAGCCCTGCGCCAGGAGAAAAAGGCTGTCACCGAGAACTGGCCGCGACCGTACTGCTAAGGTACGTGCTTAAGTAGACATCGCTCAAGTACGCATCCTTGACGCAGGTGGCTCCAAGTCTCAGGCACATTCAGGCACCTTTCACCTCACAGCGACTGAAGCGTTCGAGCATCCGGTCCATGCGGAAGCTACCAGCAACACGAGGACAAGGTCACGCGCACTCCACGCGAACGAGGGTTTCGCACCCACTTCCAAACAGGCAACTAAGCGCAGAGCGCGCCACACCCATTTGTTGGGCCCCGGCGTTGATCCGTGAAAGCTCCTGCGCATCGCTGATGCAGCAGGAGGAGCAGACGCGAGCGACTTTCTCCGACTTTCCTTCTGATTTCCACTGCTCCCGAACAAATGCTCGGCCATGTAAAATCAAAACCATAGATTCGAGGGCCGGGCTGGCGAGTCTCCCGCCCGTTGTTCTGGCGGGAGCCAGCCTCATTCCCATACCTTGGCGCATGGCACCGGCACAGTTCGGCGATTCAAGTGATTACATGACCATGCCGCGCAACTTCCGCCAGTAAGAGACCTGCCACGGGGATCTGTGCCAGCCTACTGCCAGGCTCTCACAGCACTGACCACATGCCAACGTGCATCCGACATCCAACGCTGCCTTTCTGGTGTTTTTTCTTCGACCTGAAGATGTGCGGGCAAAGGCTCTCCACATGTCCAACGCGCTAGGAACGGCCGAGGCAGCTTCCCGGCTGGCTTCCAGGTGTTCTGGATGCCTCCGCCGGGCCCTGCAACAAGAACAATGGAACCAACCCCTGCGACATTCCGCGACAACACAATCATTGTCAATCCCAAGGTCGATTGTAAATTAAATATGTCCGACTATGCTGAAATTTCCGCGGAAGCACTCCGACATGATGTGCAGACCATACAAGGCAAATCCCGAAGGCACGCAGAAGCAACGGATGTCATCGGACGGCCTCCGATTGACGATCCCTCGGCAACCGCGTTCAAAGGGGCTGCGGCAACCTTCCCAGCAGGCGGCAGCCGGAGTGCTGAGAAGCGACGCGTACGACTCTGTCCGTGCAGGCCTGGGGTGCTTTCTTTGCCCAGCCTCGGCTGTGCAGGTTTCTGCTGATCCGTGTCGCTGACTCGCGTCATGCCGACGGCACTGCAACTTCCCGTGACGACGAGTGGCAACCCAGCAAGGGCGCTTGTGTGCCCTCAGAGGAGCAGCATTTCACATTTGGAGCGTTTCCAACAGCACACTCATCTCCCTGCTGTGCTGGCCATGCCGGCTGAGTTCACTGCAGCTCCGAGCTGCGGGAAGTCCTGGGTGGGAGCCAGATGAGCCAGCAAGCGAGATCCACACAAAGTCTCGAACAGTTCAGACACTTGGCTTCTCGCATCTGCAGCCCAGTTGAACATTTCTGCAGGGGACGGGCAGAGGCTGCACTGGCATGAGCTGCAGCGGAAGCACGCAAGGCCGAGGGCCAGGCTGGACCGCGGGACGGGCGGGGGACTGTCAACGTTGGCAAACTACTCTTTCTGGGCGCAAAACCGCAGATGCCCGATTCCTACTGATTGGGACTCTCAGACACGTGCAAGTTGCTTGCCACGCAACTACCGGTCCCGCAAGAAACTACGACCACCCGTCAACCTTACTACACTGGTAAACAGACTCGCCTTCTCTATTCAGACAGCCAGCACACCGCCAGCAGACCGCCAGTTCGGTCGTTTATCGTCTGCAGCGCAGTCTTGATCCTATCTGAGGTCCTCAGGGCGGCGTGTAACCGATGTGAAACCGAGCCTTCTCAACGCTCGGACAGAGCGTGTCTTGCTTTCCTGTGCATCTGACCATTGCAATGACAGTGTCATTGCAATGGTCAGATGCACAGGAAAGCAACTTCCAGCACCTGGCAGCGATTCTGCTTTGCTTCCGCTGAGACTGAGGAATCGAAGCTTTGTGGACATGCTTTCCATGCCACTGTGTGCCCCGTGATGTTCTGCGCAACTACCCGAACTACGAGACGTGGAGACTCGGAAAGCGCTCAGCTCATCGCAAAGTCGGGCAATCCTTCGACTCGAAAGTCGTGCAAGCTGTCAGCGACGCATGATTGCGAAGCCGCTGCTATTACACAGTTCTTGCCCGTGAAATTCTTGCAAGGCGTGATGACGCGCTGACAACTTGCTGACGAATCCTCAATTTCAAATCCTACAGTTTTCACAGGCCTTGGAGCCCTGCACCAGGAGAAAAAGGCTGTCACCGAGAACTGGCCGTGACCGTACTGCTAAGGTACGTGCTTAAGTAGACATCGCTCAAGTATGCATCCTTGACGCAGGTGGCTCCAAGTCTCAGGCACATTCAGGCACCTTTCACCTCACAGCGATTGAAGCGTTCGAGCATCCAGTCCAAGCGGAAGCTACCAGCAACACGAGGACAAGGTCACGCGCACTCCATGCGAACGAAGGTTTCGCACCCGCTTCGAAACAGGCAACTAAGCGCAGAGCGCGCCACACCCATTCGTTGGGTCCCGCAGCTGATCCGTGAAAGCTCCTGCGCATCGCTGATGCAGCAGGAGGGGCAGACGCGAACGACTTTCCTTCTGATTTCCACTGCTCCCAAATAAGTTTTAAACTTCTATGAACCATAGATTCGAGGGCCGGGCTGGCGAGTCTCCCGCCAGTTGTTCTGGCGGGAGCCAGCCTCATACCCGTACCTTGGCGCATGGCACCGGCACCGGAGCAGTTCGGGGATTCAAGTGATTACATGACCATGCCGCGCAACTTCCATCACTAAGAGACCTGCCACGGGGATTTCTGCCAGCCTACAGCCAGCCTATCACAGCACTGACCACATGCCAACGTGCATCCGACATCCAACGCTGCCTTTCTGGTGTTTTTTCTTCGACCTGAAGATGTGCGGGCAAAGGCTCTCCACATGTCCAACGCGCTAGGAACGGCCGAGGCAGCTTCCCGGCTGGCTTCCAGGTGTTCTGGATGCCGCCACCGGGCCCTGCAACAAGAATAATAAAACCAACCCTGTAACATTCCGCGACAACACAATCATTGTCAATCCCAAGGTCGATCGTAAACAAATCCGGCTATGCTGAAATTTCCACGGAAGCATTCCGACGTGATGTGCGGGCTACACAATGCAAATCCTGAAGGTGCGCAGAAGCAATCGACGGCGTCGCACGGCCTCCGATTGAAGATCCCTCGGCAACCGCGCTCACCGGGGCTGCGGAAGCCTTCACAGCACGCGGATTGCTAAGGAGCGACCGACGCATGCCACTCTGTCCGTGCAAGGCCTGGGGTGCTTTCTTTGCCCAACCTCGGCTGTGCAGGTTTCTGCTGATCCGTTTCGCTGACGCGCGTCATGCCGACGGCACTGCGACTTCCCGTGACGAGTGGCAGCCCAGCAGGGGCGCTTCTGTGCCCTCAGAAGAGCAGCATTTCACATTTGGAGCGCCTGCTGCTTTTCCAACAGCACACTCATCTCCCTGCTCTGCTGGGCCATGATGGCTGAGTTCACTGCAGCTCCCAGCTGTGGGAAGTCCTGGGTGGGAGCCAGCAGGCGAGATCCGCACAAAGGCTCGAACAGTTCTCACACTTGGCTTCTCGCATCCGCAGCCCACGTAAACATTCCTGCAGGAGACGGGCAAAGGCTGCACTGACATGAGCTGCGGCGGAAGCACGCAAGGCCGAGGGCCAGGCTGGACCGCGGCAGGGGAATGTCAAAGTTGGCAGACTAATTTTTTCTGGGTCCAAAACAGCAGATGCCCGAGTCTTATAATGCTTGGGAATCCAAGAGACGTGCAAGTTGCTTGCGACAGCATTGCCGGCTACAACTACGCCTTCAGCTTTGCTACACTTGCAAACGACTCTCATTCTCTGTTCAGACGTCTTAATGCTTGGGACTCCAAGAGACGTGCAAGTTGCTTGCGACACCATTACCGGCTACAACTACGCCTTCAACTTTACTACACTTGCAAACGACTCTCCTTATCTGTTCAGATGTCTTAATGCTTGGGACTCCAAGAGACGTGCAAGTTGCTTGCGACACCATTACCGGCTACAACTAGGCTTTCAACTTTACTACACTTGCAAACGACTCTCATTCTCTGTTCAGACTGCCAGTGTACCTCGCAGTTCGGTCGTTTTTCGTCTGCAGCGCAGTCTTGATCCTATCTGAGGTCCTCAAGAACATCAGCGTGCAACCGATGTGCAACCGAGCCTTCTTATTGCTCGGCTGCGGCGTTTCATTGCAAGGATCAGCACCTGGCCGCGATTTTTGCCTCGACGTTCTGTGCGAGTGCCATGGCGTGGATCTGCTTTGCTTCAGCTGAGACTGAGGCTTCGAAGTTGTGTGGACATGCTTTCCATGCCACTGTGTGCCCCGTGATGTTCTTTGCAACTACCCGAACTACGAGACGTGGAGACTCGGAAAGCGCTCAGCTCATCGCAAAGTCGGGCAATCCTGCTTCGACTCGAAAGTCTTGCAAGCTGTCAGCGACGCATGCTTGCGAAGCTGCTATTACTAAAATTACACTTTTCTTGCCCGTGAAGTTCTGCAAAGCGTGATTACGCGCTGACAGCTTTCTGAGGATTGCTGAATTTCAAGGCCTGCAGTTTTTACAGGCCTTGGAGCCCTTCGCCAGGAGAAAAAGGCTGTCACCGAGAACTGGCCGCGACCGTACTGTTAAGGTACGTGCTTAAGTAGACATCGCTCAAGTACATATCCTTGACGCAGGTGGCTCCAAGTCTCACATTCAGGCACCTTTCACCTCACAGCGATTATTCGAGAATCCAGTCCAAGCGGAAGCTACCAGCAACACGAGGACAAGGTCACGCGCACTCCATGCGAACGAAGGTTTCGCGCCCACTTGCACAAGGCAACTAAGTGCAGAGCGCGCCACATCCATTTGTTCGGCCCCGCAGCTGATCCGTGAAAGCTCCTTTCTCATCGCTGATGCAGCAGGAGGAGCAGACGCGAACGATTTTCCTTCTGATTTCCACTGCTCCCAAATAAGTTTTAAACTTCTATGAACCATAGATTCGAGGGCCGGGCTGGCGAGTCTCCCGCCAGTTGTTCTGGCGGGAGCCAGCCTCATACCCGTACCTTGGCGCATGGCACCGGCACCGGAGCAGTTCGGGGATTCAAGTGACTACATGGCCATGCTGCGAAACTTCCATCACTAAGAGACCTGCCACGGGGATTTCTGCCAGCCTACAGCCAGGCTCTCACAGCACTGACCACATGCCAACGTCCATCCGACATCCAACGCTGCCTTTCTGGTGCTTCTTCTTTGACCTGAAGATGTGCGGGCAAAGGCTCTCCACATGTCCAACGCGCTAGGAACGGCCGAGGCCGCTTCCCGGCTGGCTTCCAGCTGTTCTGGATGCCTCCGCCGGGCCCTGCAACAAGAACAATGAAACCAAATCCTGTGACCTTCCGGGGCGACACAGCCATTGTCAATCCCAAGGTCGATTGTAAACAAATCCGGCCATGATGAAATTTCCACGGAAGCTTTCCGACGTGATGTGTGGACCATACAAGGCAAATCCTGAAGGTGCGCAGAAGCAACGGACATCAACGGACTGCAGTCGGACGGCCTCCGATTGAGGATCCCTCGGCAACCGTGCTCACGGGGGCTGCGGAAACCTTCACAGCATGCGGAGTGCTTAGAAGCGACGCACGCAACTCTGTCCGCGCAAGCAAGGCCTGGAAAGCTTTTGTTGCCCAGCCTCGGCTTTGCAGGTTTCTGATGATCCGTTTCCCTGACGCGCGTCATGCCGACGGCACTGCAACTTCCCGTGACGAGTGGCAGCCCAGCAAGGGCGCTTGTGTGCCCTCAGAGGAGCAGCATTTCACATTCAAGAGCGCCTGCTGCTTCTCCAACAGCACACTCATCTCCCTGCTCTGCTGGCCATGTTGGCTGAGTTCACTGCAGCTCCGAGCTGCGGGAATTCCTGGATGGGAGCCAGCGCAAGCGAGATCCGCACAAAGGCTGGAACAGTTCAAACACTTGGCTTCTCGCATCCACAGACCAGGTGAACATTCCTGCAGGACACGTGCAAAGGCTGCACTGACATGAGCTGCAGCGGAAGCACGCCAAGGCCGAGGGCCAGGCTGGCCCGCTTGAAGGGAGGAATGTGGCTGTTAGCAGACTATTCTTGCTGGGTCCAAAAGAGCAGATGCCCGACTCCTCAAGATTGGGACTCCAAGAGACCTGCAGTTGTTGTCACACGATTACCGGTTACGACTACGCCTTCAACTTTACTACACTTGCAAACGACTCTCATCCAGTGTACCTCGCAGTTCGGTCGTTTTTCGTCTGCAGCGCAGTCTTGATCCTATCTGAGGTCCTCAAGAACATCAGCGTGCAACCGATGTGCAACCGAGCCTTCTTATTGCTCGGCTGCAGCGTTTCATTGCAAAGCAATTTCCAGCACCTGGCAGCGATTCTGCCTCGACATTCGGTGCCAGTGCCATGGCGTGGATCTGCTTTGCTTCCGCTGCGACTGAGGCTTCGAACTTGTGTGGACACGCTTTCTATGCCACTGTGTGCCTTTGATGTTCTGTGCAAAAACGTGAACTACGAGACATGGATGTTTCGGAAAGTGCGCGGCTGATCGCAGCGTTGGGTGATCCTTCCATTGGAAGCTCGGGCAAGCTGTCAGCGACGCATGCTTGCGAAGTCGCTGCTATTACACTGTTCTTGCCCGTGAAATTCTTGCAAGGCACGTTTACATGCTGACAGCTTGCTGACGATTGCTGAATTTCAAAGCCTGCAGTTTTTACAGGCCTTGGAGCCCTGCGCCAGGAGAAACAACTGTCATGGAGAACTGGCCGCGACCGTGCTGCTAAGGTACGTGCTTAAGTAGACATCGCTCAAGTCTGCATCCTCGACGCAGGTGGCTCCAAGTCTCAGGCACATTCAGGCACCTTTCACCTCACAGCGATTGAAGCGTTCGAGCATCTAGTCCAAGCGGAAGCTACTAGCAACACGAGGAGAAGGTCACGCGCACTCCATGCGAACGAGGGTTTCGCACCCACTTGCAAAAGGCAACTAAGCGCAGAGCGTGCCACACCCATTTGTTCGGCCCCGCAGCTGATCCGTGAAAGCTCCTGCACATCGCTGATGCATCAGGAGCAGACGCGAACGACTTTCCTTCTGATTCGCACTGCTCCCGAACAAATGCTCGGCCAGTTTTTAAAAATCTTAACCATAGACCCGAGGGCCGGGCTTGTGAGAGTCCCGCCAGTTGTTCTGGCGTGAGCCGGGCTCATGCCCGTACCTTGGCGCATGGCACCGGCACCGGAGCAGTTCGGCGATTCAAGTGATTACATGGCCATGCTGCGAAACTTCCATCACTAAGAGACCTGCCACGGGGATTTCTGCCAGCCTACTGCGCGGGTCTCACAGCACTGACCACATGCCAACGTGCATCCGACATCCAACGCAGCCTTTCTGGTGCTTTTTCTTTGACCTGAAGATGTGCGGGCAAAGGCTCTCCACATGTCATGCGCTAGAAACGGCCGAGGCCGCTTCCCAGCTGGCTTCCAGTTGTTCTGGATGCCGCCGGGCCCTGCAACAAGAAGAATGAGACCAACCCTGTGACATTCCGCGACAACACAATCATTGTCAACTCCTTCTATGGATTGTAGACCAGTCCGGCTATGTTGAAACTCCGACATGATGTGCGGGCTACACAAGGCAAATCCCGAAAGCACGCAGAAGCAATGGATGCCATTGGACGGCCTCCGACTGAAGATCTTTCGATAATCGCGCTCACGGGGGCTGCGGCAACCGTGCTCACGGGGGCTGCGGCAACCTTCACAGCAGGCGCAGTGCTTAGAAGCGACGCACACATCTCGGTCAGTGCAAGGCCTGTGGTGTCTTTTTCGCCCAGCCTCGGCTGTGCAGGTTTCTGCCGTTCCGTTTCGCTGACGCGCGTCATGCCGACGGCACTGCAACTTCCCGTGACGAGTGGCAGCCCAGGAGGGGAGCTTGTGTGCTGCCCTCAGAGGAGCAGCATTTGACATTTAAGAGCGCCTGCTGCTTTTCCAACAGCACACTCATCTCCCTGCTCTGCTGGCCATGTTGGCTGAGTTCACTGCAGCTCCGAGCTGCGGGAATTCCTGGATGGGAGCCAGCGCAAGCGAGATCCGCACAAAGGCTGGAACAGTTCAGACACTTGGCTTCTCGCATCCACAGACCAGGTGAACATTCCTGCAGGACACGTGCAAAGGCTGCACTGACATGAGCTGCAGCGGAAGCACGCCAAGGCCGAGGGCCAGGCTGGCCCGCTTGAAGGAGGAATGTGGCTGTTAGCAGACTATTCTTGCTGGGTCCAAAAGAGCAGATGCCCGACTCCTCAAGATTGGGACTCCAAGAGACCTGCAGTTGTTGTCACACGATTACCGGTTACGACTACGCCTTCAACTTTACTACACTTGCAAACGACTCTCATTCTCTGTTCAGACTGCCAGTGTACCTCGCAGTTCGGTCGTTTTTCGTCTGCAGCGCAGTCTTGATCCTATCTGAGGTCCTCAAGAACATCAGCGTGCAACCGATGTGCAACCGAGCCTTCTTATTGCTCGGCTGCGGCGTTTCATTGCAAAGCAATTTCCAGCACCTGGCAGCGATTCTGCCTCGACATTCGGTGCCAGTGCCATGGCGTGGATCTGCTTTGCTTCCGCTGCGACTGAGGCTTCGAACTTGTGTGGACACGCTTTCTATGCCACTGTGTGCCTTTGATGTTCTGTGCAAATACGTGAACTACGAGACATGGATGTTTCGGAAAGTGCGCGGCTGATCACAGCGTTGGGTGATCCTTCCATTGGAAGCTCGGGCAAGCTGTCAGCGACGCATGCTTGCGAAGTCGCTGCTATTACACTGTTCTTGCCCGTGAAATTCTTGCAAGGCGCGTTTACATGCTGACAGCTTGCTGACGATTGCTGAATTTCAAAGCCTGCAGTTTTTACAGGCCTTGGAGCCCTGCGCCAGGAGAAACAGCTTGCATGGAGAACTGGCCGCGACCGTGCTGCTAAGGTACGTGCTTAAGTAGACATCGCTCAAGTACGCATCCTCGACGCAGGTGGCTCCAAGTCTCAGGCACATTCAGGCACCTTTCACCTCACAGCGATTGAAGCGTTCGAGCATCTAGTCCAAGCGGAAGCTACTAGCAACACGAGGAGAAGGTCACGCGCACTCCATGCGAACGAGGGTTTCGCACCCACTTGCAAAAGGCAACTAAGCGCAGAGCACGCCACACCCATTTGTTCGGCCCCGCAGCTGATCCGTGAAAGCTCCTGCACATCGCTGATGCAGCAGGAGCAGACGCGAACGACTTTCCTTCTGATTCGCACAGCTCCCGAACAAATGCTCGGCCAGTTTTTAAAAATCTTAACCATAGACCCGAGGGCCGGGCTTGTGAGAGTCCCGCCAGTTGTTCTGGCGGGAGCCGGGCTCATGCCCGTACCTTGGCGCATGGCACCGGCACCGGAGCAGTTCGGCGATTCAAGTGATTACATGGCCATGCTGGGCTACTTCCATCACTAAGAGACCTGCCACGGGGATTTCTGCCAGCCTACTGCGCGGGTCTCACAGCACTGACCACATGCCAACGTGCATCCGACATCCAACGCAGCCTTTCTGGTGCTTTTTCTTTGACCTGAAGACGTGCGGGCAAACGCTCTCCACATGTCATGCGCTAGAAACGGCCGAGGCCGCTTCCCAGCTGGCTTCCAGTTGTTCTGGATGCCGCCGGGCCCTGCAACAAGAAGACTGAGACCAACCCTGTGACATTCCGCGACAACACAATCATTGTCAACTCCTTCTATGGATTGTAGACCAGTCCGGCTATGTTGAAACTCCGACATGATGTGCGGGCTACACAAGGCAAATCCCGAAAGCACGCAGAAGCAACGGATGCCATTGGACGGCCTCCGACTGAAGATCTTTCGATAATCGCGCTCACGGGGGCTGCGGCAACCGTGCTCACGGGGGCTGCGGCAACCTTCACAGCAGGCGCAGTGCTTAGAAGCGACGCACACATCTCGGTCAGTGCAAGGCCTGTGGTGTCTTTTTCGCCCAGCCTCGGCTGTGCAGGTTTCTGCCGTTCCGTTTCGCTGACGCGCGTCATGCCGACGGCACTGCAACTTCCCGTGACGAGTGGCAGCCCAGGAGGGGAGCTTGTGTGCTGCCCTCAGAGGAGCAGCATTTGACATTTAAGAGCGCCTGCTGCTTTTCCAACAGCACACTCATCTCCCTGCTCTGCTGGCCATGTTGGCTGAGTTCACTGCAGCTCCGAGCTGCGGGAATTCCTGGATGGGAGCCAGCGCAAGCGAGATCCGCACAAAGGCTGGAACAGTTCAGACACTTGGCTTCTCGCATCCACAGACCAGGTGAACATTCCTGCAGGACACGTGCAAAGGCTGCACTGACATGAGCTGCAGCGGAAGCACGCCAAGGCCGAGGGCCAGGCTGGCCCGCTTGAAGGGAGGAATGTGGCTGTTAGCAGACTATTCTTGCTGGGTCCAAAAGAGCAGATGCCCGACTCCTCAAGATTGGGACTCCAAGAGACCTGCAGTTGTTGTCACACGATTACCGGTTACGACTACGCCTTCAACTTTACTACACTTGCAAACGACTCTCATTCTCTGTTCAGACTGCCAGTGTACCTCGCAGTTCGGTCGTTTTTCGTCTGCAGCGCAGTCTTGATCCTATCTGAGGTCCTCAAGAACATCAGCGTGCAACCGATGTGCAACCGAGCCTTCTTATTGCTCGGCTGCGGCGTTTCATTGCAAAGCAATTTCCAGCACCTGGCAGCGATTCTGCCTCGACATTCGGTGCCAGTGCCATGGCGTGGATCTGCTTTGCTTCCGCTGCGACTGAGGCTTCGAACTTGTGTGGACACGCTTTCTATGCCACTGTGTGCCTTTGATGTTCTGTGCAAATACGTGAACTACGAGACATGGATGTTTCGGAAAGTGCGCGGCTGATCACAGCGTTGGGTGATCCTTCCATTGGAAGCTCGGGCAAGCTGTCAGCGACGCATGCTTGCGAAGTCGCTGCTATTACACTGTTCTTGTCCGTGAAATTCTTGCAAGGCACGTTTACATGCTGACAGCTTGCTGACGATTGCTGAATTTCAAAGCCTGCAGTTTTTACAGGCCTTGGAGCCCTGCGCCAGGAGAAACAACTGTCATGGAGAACTGGCCGCGACCGTGCTGCTAAGGTACGTGCTTAAGTAGACATCGCTCAAGTACGCATCCTCGACGCAGGTGGCTCCAAGTCTCAGGCACATTCAGGCACCTTTCACCTCACAGCGATTGAAGCGTTCGAGCATCTAGTCCAAGCGGAAGCTACTAGCAACACGAGGAGAAGGTCACGCGCACTCCATGCGAACGAGGGTTTCGCACCCACTTGCAAAAGGCAACTAAGCGCAGAGCGCGCCACACCCATTTGTTCGGCCCCGCAGCTGATCCGTGAAAGCTCCTGCACATCGCTGATGCAGCAGGAGCAGACGCGAACGACTTTCCTTCTGATTCGCACAGCTCCCGAACAAATGCTCGGCCAGTTTTTAAAAATCTTAACCATAGACCCGAGGGCCGGGCTTGTGAGAGTCCCGCCAGTTGTTCTGGCGGGAGCCGGGCTCATGCCCGTACCTTGGCGCATGGCACCGGCACCGGAGCAGTTCGGCGATTCAAGTGATTACATGGCCATGCTGGGCTACTTCCATCACTAAGAGACCTGCCACGGGGATTTCTGCCAGCCTACTGCGCGGGTCTCACAGCACTGACCACATGCCAACGTGCATCCGACATCCAACGCAGCCTTTCTGGTGCTTTTTCTTTGACCTGAAGATGTGCGGGCAAAGGCTCTCCACATGTCATGCGCTAGAAACGGCCGAGGCCGCTTCCCAGCTGGCTTCCAGTTGTTCTGCATGCCGCCGGGCCCTGCAACAAGAAGAATGAGACCAACCCTGTGACATTCCGCGACAACCCAATCATTGTCAATTCCTTCTATGGATTGTAGACCAGTCCGGCTATGTTGAAACTCCGACATGATGTGCGGGCTACACAAGGCAAATCCCGAAAGCACGCAGAAGCAATGGATGCCATTGGACGGCCTCCGACTGAAGATCTTTCGATAATCGCGCTCACGGGGGCTGCGGCAACCGTGCTCACGGGGGCTGCGGCAACCTTCACAGCAGGCGCAGTGCTTAGAAGCGACGCACACATCTCGGTCAGTGCAAGGCCTGTGGTGTCTTTTTCGCCCAGCCTCGGCTGTGCAGGTTTCTGCCGTTCCGTTTCGCTGACGCGCGTCATGCCGACGGCACTGCAACTTCCCGTGACGAGTGGCAGCCCAGGAGGGGAGCTTGTGTGCTGCCCTCAGAGGAGCAGCATTTGACATTTAAGAGCGCCTGCTGCTTTTCCAACAGCACACTCATCTCCCTGCTCTGCTGGCCATGTTGGCTGAGTTCACTGCAGCTCCGAGCTGCGGGAATTCCTGGATGGGAGCCAGCGCAAGCGAGATCCGCACAAAGGCTGGAACAGTTCAGACACTTGGCTTCTCGCATCCACAGACCAGGTGAACATTCCTGCAGGACACGTGCAAAGGCTGCACTGACATGAGCTGCAGCGGAAGCACGCCAAGGCCGAGGGCCAGGCTGGCCCGCTTGAAGGAGGAATGTGGCTGTTAGCAGACTATTCTTGCTGGGTCCAAAAGAGCAGATGCCCGACTCCTCAAGATTGGGACTCCAAGAGACCTGCAGTTGTTGTCACACGATTACCGGTTACGACTACGCCTTCAACTTTACTACACTTGCAAACGACTCTCATTCTCTGTTCAGACTGCCTGTGTACCTCGCAGTTCGGTCGTTTTTCGTCTGCAGCGCAGTCTTGATCCTATCTGAGGTCCTCAAGAACATCAGCGTGCAACCGATGTGCAACCGAGCCTTCTTATTGCTCGGCTGCAGCGTTTCATTGCAAAGCAATTTCCAGCACCTGGCAGCGATTCTGCCTCGACATTCGGTGCCAGTGCCATGGCGTGGATCTGCTTTGCTTCCGCTGAGACTGAGGCTTCGAACTTGTGTGCGGCTGGACCACGGGAGGGGACTGTCAAACCCAGAAAGACTAGTCTGCCAACATTGACTCAATGTTGGCAGACAGAACAGTCTGCCAGCATTGAGTCAATGTTGGCAGACTGTTCTTTCTGGGTCCAGAAGAGCAGATGCCCATTCGTAGTGATTGGGACTCTCAGGGACGTGCAAGTTGCTTGCCACGCAACTACCGGTCCCGCAAGAAACTATGACTACGTACACTTACAAAAGACGATCATTCTCAGTTCAGACTGCCAGCGTGTACTGTCATCACCCCGCATTTCGGTCGCTTCTGTCTGCGGCGAGGTCTTGATCCCATCTGCAGCGTCCAGGTCCTCAATGAGCCTTCGCCATGACTCTTTGGAAGCGCACGCGGCCAAGGGCCAGGCTTGAAAGAGGGACGCTTCTCGCTTGTTGCTTCTTTTGAGCTTCAGGCTGCGATGCTCCGCATTCAAGCGACTGAGTTCTTGCGAAGGATGCCAGTGTGCCGTCATTACCTCTCGATGCCATCGTTTTCCGTCCGCAGTGCGATCTTGAACTTACCTGCAGCGGCGTCCAGGTCCTCAGCGAGATCGGCATGCATCCGATTTGCACCCGAGCATTGCATTCATCAGATGCAATCATTTCGGCTTCCGGGCGCTGGGCCGCGGTGATGCCAAGAAGCACTGCAGGTGCAGCAGCCTGGCAGGAAGTCGGACTCACAGATGCGAGTAGTGTTTCGTCTCTCTCTCTCTCTCTCTCTCTCTCTCTCTCCCTCTCTCCCTCTCTCTCTCTCTCTCTCTCTCTCTCTCTCTCTCTCTCTCCCTCCCTCCGTGCTTCGCAGAGCTGCAACTTCCTGTGCTTGGGGGTGGGTCAACTTATCGCTCGAAGTTTCCGGTGGATCGAACTGCGACATACTACAACCAAGATGCGTTGCCAATGCGAATGTCATCTCCAGTTCTCCAGATGGAACGCATGTAGTGCAACGTAGGAGCGATGGGGCAAATGTCGACCTGGGATGCTTTCAAGTCCTTCAGCAGAGACTCGGCATCATCAAGCAGGGAGGTGTCCTGATTCTGAGGCAACGTCTGCTACAGATCTTGTTCCCGCTTACTGTGAGCTCGCCGCGGTACCTGAATGTTCTTGTCCATCTCCAATAGGTGAAGACAAAGCTCCTGAAGCGGGCTGCGGCCAAGCCTTGTGCCTGACAACCACGCCCGCGCAGTTGAAGTCCTGAAGCACATGGACCTGGAATTGCATTGCAAGCCTGGCTAATCGAGGAGTCTCTGGTCCAGCAGTGAAGGCAGGCAAGCGCCTGTTGATGGGCGATGATGACTGAAGATGCCTGATCAGAAAAAATGCCAACGGCGTCGATCAATCTCTGGGCAGTCGGCAGTCGGCCTTGATGCGAAGGCGACCTGCGATTTGGAGCACATTGGCGGGTTTGTGTCTGCCGCTCTCTGCGAAGCCTCGGATCTCCACGTGGAAGCGACATCGCCTGGACCCGTGTCAGCCTCCGACAGCCGGACAGGTGGCATCTCTCCAAGAAACCCAGCGGCGCACACACTCCGAGAGTTGTGCCTGGCACTCCAGCATGAGGCTCATCAATTGCCCTCGGAAAGCCCAAGGGGCCTTCAACGTACTGCATGTGGCAGCTAGACCTATACCGGTTCAGACAGGCTTGGTTGATGGTCATGCGTGCTGAAGGCCATGTAAATTGAACATGCGAGCCGCCTCGAGATGCGGAAAGGTAGCTAACAGTTCTCCGGCCAGTTGCCATTCCTGGCAGCCCAACCTAAGACTCTCCGCCCGGTATCAGTTAATCAATCGCAGCTGTCCCGCCTCGTTGAAGGAGGTTTCCTCCACTGGCCGCTTACTGAGCTGCCGCTGCAGTCGGACAAGCCTCAGTGCTTCTCGCTATCGTTATGGTCAAGCCGTTGCTACTTCAAAGGTCCCCGCCGATGATGGAAAAGACCGTAGTGGGACGGTGTCTGGAAGGCCTGCGATGCATTCAACAGCAACGCCAGGCTGTCTGAATGTGGAAAACTTGGGAGCGGACCAACTTTGGGAACTTCTTTTCCAGCACGGACGCCTGAAGTGCACACCGGATATGAAGCCACGGTTCTCCCTTGAAGCCTCGACTCGAGGCTGTCGAGGCTCGAGGCCAAGGCGGCTCCCGGAGACTCGGCGACGAAACGATTTAACCTCAGCTCTGGCGCAGGGCGTCCTCGCGTCCGGAACTCCGAGTACCGGTCTCTCCAAGGACTCCAGGCCATGCCCAGTGGTTCCAGGCATAGTAGTGGTGGTCGTATCTGGGTCGCAAGCATAGCATCTGGCTTGGACTCCTCTTTCGGATTCTCTCTCGTTGCCTTCTGGCGAGCTCCTCCACAAGCGCCAACTCCTGACAAAGATGGGCATTGCGATGCGTGCTGGGAACGAGCGCAGCGTACCCGGTGGATGCGACCGACTTTCAACATCGTTGCAATGCTGTCTTCAATTGTCGTCCGCTGCGCCTGGCACAGCAGTGTCTGCTGCTCGTCCTCGCAAAAGCTTCAATCTCACCATATAGTGTGAAATCTGTGCAGTTCTCTAGTTGTCTTCAACATTCAGCAACAGTAGGCTAGTAGGCGCTAGGGCCATGGCTGGCCTGTGACACCTGAAGCACTTCGCCCAAAAGCCTGCGCCGCTGTGCCCAAGTCTCACCTAAGGTTCTGGTACAATCATGTGGCCTGTGCATCCAACACAGCTCAGATGCATGCCGCTCTTATGGTTCGTTCTCAACAGCAACGCGCTGAAGAGCAACCCCGCCTCAAGCCGCATGACGATGAGGGTGCCGCACAGTTTCTTTGGGAGATCTTTCGGGCCGGCCTTCGGGGAAAGGCCTGAACTTCTCGTCCGGTTCCATGCATTCCATGCACCTCGCATCACTGTAAGTGCTGACAAGTGCCTACGATTGTGCGGCAGTCATGTAATTTGGAAGCGCGCTGGAGCAGTCTGCACTGCAAAGCAGAATGGCTCTTGAGCTTTCGTGGAGCTTCACTAGGTGAACCTGAGCTGTACGCATTGACTTGAACAGTGGTCGGTGGAGCGAGAACTTTCTACAAATTAGCTAGTCGAGGTCAAGCGACGAATACGTGCGGCCCAGGGACCGTGTCTGCTGAGTTTTCGGAGTAGCCGCGTGCTGCCTGCCTTGACACCTGTCGTTCAAGGGACCCTGAGCCCTGTACCAGCAATAGCACAGCATGTGAAAGGGATCGACACTGTCTGGCCTGAGAAGCATGTAGGTACAGGGTCAATGCTGCCTAGTGCAACTTCGCATGCTGCACGTGAGGAGCGAAGCCATCAGTGCTATGTCTTCTATGTGCCTCGATGGAGATGGCAAGCTTGTGCTCCGCATGTATGCAGCCAAGATCCTCGAGTCGAGCCATTGGGATCTAATGACACATCCCGCGGTACACGACGAGGTCCTGATTTTCATCTGCGCCGGGCGAGAAAAGTTGGGGTGTTGCGGCCGGTACGAATGCATACCTTGTCAAGTCAAGGAAAATCCAACAAGTGTCCAGTCGGTGATCAGAACTCACGCAGCCAGGAAGCTCGTCGATGGCCGGATCTGCGACGAATGCTGCATTAAGCTTCTCGAGAAGCGCTGCCATTGCACTCTGCTTTGAACGGCATGAACTGGTATGTCGGGGCGCTTGTGGCGTTCTGTCATGCTGCTCGTATGACTCATACCTGCCGAACATAAACGCAACTGTCGGCTTACTTTTGGACGAATTTCACAAGACAAGAGGCACTTGAAGTAAGATCGGTGAGATCCGTGACCCTGCCTGGTGAGATGCCTGCATTACTCGTCGGCTCAATGCTGGAAGCAAGGTGCGAGCTTTTGGGAAATGCGTAACGTCGAGGTGTCGGACCGTGGGCCCTCAAAGCTGAACCTGTAGGTCAGCAGTTGGAGCAGACGCGAGGACGCTTCCATGACAAGGCCTCGTTGTCGTACGGGAAAGGCATCTCCAAGTCCTTCTTTCCAAGAAGTGGTCGACCTTGTACAGTGTGCACATGTGGAGCTTCTCGCTGCTGGTGTCCAGCACTCCAATCTTCAAGAGTCCGCTATTAACCGCAGTTGACAAGGGCATGAAAGTACGCCTCGATCTTCAGTGCTAGCCGGGTTAGCTACCATCTCGCGTGGCCATCCTCATTCGGTGCCAGACCTGGAAGTGCAGATTAAGCTTGGGCCTGCTGTTATATGACAGCGGTGCTGCACCTCGCCTTTCTTCCCTCATCGGTCTGCGTGAAGAAGTAGGCCTGAGGAAGACGTTGGCAAAAAGCCCTAAGCCTCTCCTGGTCCCATGGGGCCGTGGCCAGAAGCAGAAGCAGCAGTATCGATAGCGCCTGAGCATCTCACGGGAGGCGACCTCCAGAACGCAGGGACAATTTGAGCTCACCACGCTGTAGCTAGTCCACCAGCTGCCTGCGAACAGGACACAAAGGATGGTTTGGGTGCTGTGAACCGAGGTTACGAGGCTTCACATGCTGAGCACCCGTCTGTGAGAATGGCCGAGGCGGGGTGTGGCACTCGGCTTGGGTCCAATCTTCTCGGACATCTGCATGGGTTTGGGAGATGCAGCCTCTCCAAACCTTCCACCTTCTGCATGAGGCGGTTTCGCAAGCGCCTGGGAAAGCAGTGACTCGATTTTGTCGGCATCTTTGGCCAACTGATCCTGCGATGGCGATGCTGCCCGCTCTCAAGGTGCGAGAGACGGAACCTCTGAGATCCCTCCGTCCTCCGCCTGCCTTTCGGCCTCTTTTATCATTGAGACCACAGACGGGCCCTGCAGGTGCCAAAAGTTGCGAATGAAAGGCTTCAAACGGTCAGAAGACTTAGCTGCTTGGCTCTGCCTTGGTTGTGAGGCTCGCCAGCTTAGAATCCAGGGTCTTCTCCTCGCTTCGGCCGGAGCCATCATCGGAAGACTTGTTCGCGGGCTGTGCAAAGGTTGTAACGCAAGCATCGAGTGGGAGCCCGGGCCCTGTCTGACGCTCGCCCGTCAGGATGCTTTGCAAGCAAAGCCTGGTGCACGACACAGTTGCACAAAAAGCTGCAGCGAAGCCCGGCTACATACCTCGCTTGCCTGAGGAGCCGGTGTTGCCGCTGCCTTGACCGTGTTCAGAGCCGTGATGGCCTGGCAGAGGACTGAAAATCCGGGGCGGGTACTCAAACAGCCAGCCATCTGCCTTGCTTGTGGCTAGGACCGCATCTTTGCAGTCTGTGCCGACGTCATCCATGTGCTTGTGCAGGCAATCCAAAATTCCAGCCTCCAGCAATGCAGCAAAAACAACAGACTTGCGGTGCATTTAAACTTTCGCCACGCCCGTGCCTTCAAAATATCGCAGTACTTGTCAATGGCACTGCTACAACGAAAAGGGACCTGACTTGTGCAGCAAGAAGACAACTGTCCTGTGCGCACCCGGTACCGGTACGTAATTACTGTGAAGCCGTTCGGTTCACATGTAAACCTTATGAGCCACATGAGCGTAAACAGGATCATGCCGTTAGCTGCATCTCGCTGGTGCGTCCAACATCTGAGAGCGGGCAGGGCCTATGAGCAACCTGTTATCTTATTCAATGCCGCCTGAGGGGTGCGCTGACTTCCCCACATCCCGTCGACAGCTGTCTGAGATGACTCCACCTGATTATTTGTTGCGAGACGGCGCCGCGAAGATGGTCCCCGAAACATCTGGGTCTACCGCTGTTCTGCCCAAGACAGTGGATCTGAGATCTTGCCTGAAGGGGCAGGAATCCAGGGAGCTGCATCTCAAGGGGCATCGTGCAGAAGCGTGTCGCAGGCCTTGGGACAAAGCGACGACACCTCCTCGCGAGGAGCAATGATGTGACAGCTGAAATCCCAGGTATCGTTGGAAAGAACCTCGAGCCTGCTGACACGACAGTGGCGCCATGCTGGCGGGCTGCATCTGGTGGATGACTGGCGCAACTACCTCCTGAAGTCACCATCGAAGAAGGAAAGAGCAGAGACACTGAAACACGGCCTGCACCACATTGTCCATTGAGCTCCTTGCAATCTCAGGCGGAGCTTGAAGTGAGGTGAGCATCCCGAAGTCTCTGGCAACATGTCTCAGCGTTGCATGCATGTTGCATCATTCACTGTAACGCACATTCCGCGGGCTACAGCTTACAAACGGTCCGTGTTTACAAGGACGTTTAACCTCAGGTTTCAACAGAAAAGCTGAGGGTTTCCAGGAATTGGCGTGATTTGCCGCTCGGACTTGAAACCAAGCTTAAGCATGGAATCTATACCTCCATTTACGATCTGGGCTTCCGGCAGCATGTCCATGACCATTGGGTCAGGTTCTTGGAAAGACTGCGCGCCACCTTGCAAGGCAGATGCTTCCTCTGTGCAGCTTCTATGCGATTCTCGCCTCTGTCAGCGCCGAATTCGAATTGTACGGGTCCTGGGAAAAGCTCACGAACAGCCTGCCAGGACAGAGTAGAGAAGGACGCTGACTAATTCATAGCTGTGCAACATGCCCGATGCGGCTTCGGCTTGTATCGGTCCAGGTTGAGCATCCTGACAGGCGCTGTCGTCATTACAGCATGGCCTACACGTAGTGCTTGGATTGTCCCAATTCTCTAGGCCCTAGGCAGTTGCCTCATTGATAATTTCGATTGCAAAACCCGGCTGGGCACCGCCACTTACCTTGGCACAGCGAGCAAGCTTTGACTCTGGCACAGCACAAAGAAGCACCGCGCTTGAGCCCGCCACCAAGCTTTGAAGCTTCTGATCTAGCTCTTGCTCTCGCGACCCGCTTTGGGGCTTGGAAGGCCTCGGACCGTGCGTGCCAGCGTGCTGCTCACACTTCAGTGCCAGTGCCGGCCGACGAGCCGATGCGCGTGTTAACGAGGCTCAAGCCCTGTCTGGAAGATAACCGGCTGAGCCTAAAGCGAACCAATGAAAGCAGGTCCATACAGCGACCAGCAACGTGAAGCCTGGTCAGCCGCTTGCAACTGGTCGAAGAAAGCCTTCAGATTTCAAACTCGTGGCCAACTTCGGTAAATCTGAGTGCAAAAGCGAGGCCTTGTTAAAAACGGATTTGAAGTCGTTGTCTGGACCACACCAAATGCGCAGTGGAAAACCTTGTGCAAGCTTTGTCAGGCCCAAGTACTGCTGAGCTAAACAGGACGTTTGCCGGAAGAGCAGTGTTTGCAGTTCTCTAACAGCTGAAGACAGTAGGGTGGTCACCAGCAAGCACCAAGACCAGTCGGATCATGGGCCTATCCGCCACGACTGGCACAGCAGCTCAGCAAGGCCGACTGTCTTATGCAAAGAAAATGACGAACTCTGCCGAAGCCCCGGCCTCGGTGGCGGGTGAGACGGTGAGCCAGGCGATCCTAATCCCACTTTACTTCCTACTCCCTTCGTGAAGCTTGCTCTGCAGGGGCTGATATCTCTGCTTCTGAGTGCCCCATTCGTGTGGTTTTCACTTAGACTTTATGTCCGCCCTTTTCGATGTACGTCGTTGGAAATGTCGTGGGCTCGTCTCGCTGCAATGTTCAACATTCACAGGCAGGAGCTGAACGTCGCTCTTGTGCTAGGGCTACTTGTAGGGCCTTTCCTTTCAACTTAACGTTTCTTGAACATTGTCATGTGACATGACCCACACGACAGGCATGAGACGTGGAAGAAGCTGCGCAGTGCGGCTGCTTGTTGGACATGCAGAGGTAAGCCACGGAGGACGTGCAACTCTCTCGCTTTTGCTGCCTTCATGCCACCTGAGAACTTTGCTCCGCGGCCTCTTGTGGCTTTCGCTTCCGGGTGGCCTGAGGCAGCATCCCCACTTGTCATGTGGATGCGCAGTGCCAGACACACAGCGCGGCTGGTCTTGCTTATTCAAATCCGCAAGCTTGGAGCATTTGACTGTGTACCACAAGCTCAGGATGCCACCACATGGTTCAGATCTGCAGTAATCTCGCAAGCTCCCGGTGCAGGTGCCTCGGTCCAGCCAGACTTGACGCTTCTTGTTGCTGATGCTGTTCCTGTTGCCCGCTGCTGCTCTTCCTGCTGGCTGCTGCCTTTGTTGCTGGCCGTGACTGTCCTGTCGCTATGTGGCCTTGGAATCATTTGTGATTGGTGCCTTGTGGCCATTGGTTGGACGTCAGTCTCGGAATGTCTGTTGCCATGAGGCATGAGCCTGTCATACTGCGAAGCATACATTCAGTGCCTTTGCGATCACGACACCGCACCCGCGTCTTGTCTTGCGTTTACCCGAGGCGTGCACGACCTGTGCTTAAACGCCGTGCCGTCCAAGCAGCAGCCCCTCGTTCATATCAGGGTTCGTGCTCAAGCCATGCACCAAGCGTACTTGAGTAACGCATTGTTGTGATCGAAATCCCAAAGCCCCGCAAATGAGCACAGATATTACATGGAAAGTTGAAATATTATTTACTATATATATATAATATGAATTTGAGTAATTTTGTTTTCCGGCGACACTCTACGCTTTTGCATTTCCCAATTGTTTCAGAATAGCGCGGTAGCCAAATAATCCAAAGTTCGAGCTTGCACTACTGTTCAAGCAAGACGAAATATCCCCCTCCCGCAACCAAGGACAACTTGAGGACGCCAAGTCCCCCTTGTCCCACGACCACGACATAAACGATCATAAACGGCATCCGACCTGTTGAACATCCTGCAAAAGCCGAGCTGATCGTGATATACATTTTGCTGGCTAACGCGCCTGGTGTGCTGCAATCTCTGCACGCGAAGGCGAGCCGAGAAGGTGACTGTTGTGAAGAACTCGCATGTCGAAGCTCTGCTGGGGAACTCCTCGGGCATGTCCGGCAAAAGGACAACGCATGGCCTGCTTCACTAGATTCACTCACTGCGGGGATGCCTTCAAGTATGCCTCCTGCCACTTGTGGATGAAATCGCTGGATTCTGTCGCATGCACCAAAGCCTTGATAGGCACAGCTGACACAGCATGGGACAGCTCAGTTCTCTCCAGTTGGATGCTTGGACAGCCGCCCACACGCTTCCACCGAACCCGGCGCCGAAGGCTGAGGCTGCGATTGCTCCAAGCCGCCGTGCCTGGGAGTGCACTGCACTCATCCGCTTCTGGCAGTTCTTGTGTGACGAAGCCTCCTTCGGCAGCCATCGTGTTTCGGCTACGAGGTTCCTGCAATCTGAGCTTGAAGCCGGGCTGTGATGAGAGGGTAAAACAGGCCAGGAAGGCTGCAAGCCAGCATCTCCTGCGCTTTGTGATCTGTCGACCTGCACTCGGTCGTCGCAAAAGCCTGAAATCAGATCGTCTCGCAGCTGAGGTGATGGCTATGGCTCCCAAACTCGCCTCATCTGCTGCTGAGAAGGCCTGCGACATGGCCATGCAAGCAACTGCCCAAGGATGGGTTCCTATCATGCTGGCCTCCGCAACCCCAGGCACGCACTCCTGGCATGAGAAGCCCTACCTAAATGCTTGTTGAACTGCGGGGATGGCAGTCTTGGAGCAGGAAGCGAACTGCCTCATTCTCTGTGAAGAATTGCTTGAAGCGAGCTTCCAATGCATGCCCTGCGCATGGCATGCTCTGCCGCAACACGGTGCACATACTCAGTGTTTTGCGGTTGCAAGCTTGCTAGACCGAAACTCGATTGCTTCCAACGTAAAATTTTGTAGCCGAAATGTACATATATATACACACATATTATTGTTATATACATCTATATACATGTGTGTATATATATATATACTGTTACAGTGCTTATATACTACATGCATACATATATCGGGGTCGTTCCGGCCTAGTTTGCTACGCAGCACTGCCGCTTCCACTGAACTGGCCTGCAGGCTGTGAACGAAGAATCTTTGTTATGTGATCACCTGCGACAATGACTTACATGCCGCACGTAAGCACTGCATGGGCACACGGGTAAGCAAAGCCGCAGGGCTCGCGCACATGCATCGAGACCACCGCCACAGCGCTGAATGCAGGTTGCAAGATCTACGTCCTCGCGACACCGCGCAATGGGCAATCGGCCTTTGCTGGCAGTTCCTTTTGAGACTCTGCGTGTCCTCGCCCCAGCCTGCACGGCACCAGATGCAATCCAGTGCGAATTCTCATGCCACTTGCCTTGATCTTTGGCGACAATTCTCCCGGCGGTCAGGGCCAGTGTCGCTGCATCGTTGTAGCTTTCCATTTTGTCCCTGCCAGTTCGTAGCTTGTCGCGATCCAAAATCTCATGGCGTGCCACTGCAACCAAGCTTGCGGCCCAGTCTTTTCTGCCAGAAGTCCACTGGATGCAACTACAAATAGAAGATGTGGAGGCATCTTGATCGAACCTTCAAAGATCAGAACAGCCATCCGAAACCAATGGCATCCAATCGCAAGACCACCGGCAAAAGATCTGCAAGAGCCAAAGGACTGACTGCACGAGGACCCTGCGCTCCAGCCTTGTGGGCTTGTATGAAAAGACCTGAGCCCAACGCTGGAACTGATGCGAGCGCGACTTCATCGGCCTTGAACCCACCCGCCTTGAGCGTGCCCAACTGCGAGGCCATGATTGCCGTGTGGTCCTCTTCCCATCGCCGCAGCGCGAACTGCGTCTTCAGAGCATGCAGACCAGCCTCGCTGCCGCCGAAGGTTCCAACACCTGGAACGGCGAAGCAAAGACTGGGACACGAGCACCGAGCGCGCCACGATGCGCCATGCTCTACGACGCTACGACGGCCGAGGCTGAGAGCCTCGGTCTCCCGTCAGGTCGCCGCAGGATCTGCCACCAGGCACAGGAAATTGCTTTCGCCGCGGAAGATCCTCTTCTTTGCTCCAGTCCAAGGTGCAGGCTGACCGTTCTCGATGCAGCCGAGATATTCATAGAACACCTCGTGTGCACAGGAGACGGTGTTGGCTCCGCACATAGAACCATGGAAAACGCTCGCGCCTCGTCTGTTGGCAGTGCCGCCTGGAACCTGAGACGGCTTTATGGCACCCGCGCTTCTTGGGCTCCGCAAACTTCAGCGGAGTGGCTCTGGCCGCTGGCGTAGCAGGTTCCGGGCCTTTGTATGGAGAGAAGTACAGAGTATGACAAAGAATGACCATCGGGTCTCTATGCTTCGCTACGGGCTCTGATGTGGTGCGGTAAGCTTGGCCAGCTAAGCTTGGAGCGTCCAACACCATGAACATTGCCTCAGTCAGCTAGAGCCTGTGATTGATTGATTGACTGCCTGTGGGTGCGAGCACCCTTGCAATTCGCAATAATTCGCAGCCTGTGATTGCAATGCTGCAGTTTCCTTGTGCACATCAGCAGTGCTCTGAAAGCATGCACGGCAACAACTACAAACAGATAACAGCTTCCTTTCGAAATCTTGCCTTGGTCAGGTGAAACGTCGACGCTTCCGACTAAACGTCGGCAGCATTCTCGAAACTCATCTTCATGTCAAGGTCTTGGCAGAAGCGTCCAATGCGACCAGCTTCACTTTGCAATGCGACGATCCAAACATGCCAGAGATTTTGGGTAGTGCTCTAAGCGCACACCCCAGGCCCAAACACTATGACATTTCGCAAAAACCCAATCATTGTCGATCCTAAGTCGCATTATCAACAAGTCCGGTCATGTTGAAATCTCTCCGCGATTTGTACATATGCAATCCAACACGATTGATCGGACTGTACACTGGCAGTCTGAACGGAAGATGAGTCGCTTGCAGTACTCGTTGTTTCCTGCAGGAACGTTAGCCGTGTGGCAAGCAGCTTTCACGTCTTTTGGGGTCCCCATCACTGGGAATGGGGCAGCTGCTATTGGAATAAGAAACGATGGACGATTCTACGCATATTCTATTGCACAAGTGTGGACCGCAGGAAGGAAAAGTGCGTGGATGTTGGCAGGCTGGACCAGAAAGACTGGCTTCTCGCATCGACAGCCCAAGTGAACATTCCTGCAGGAGGCGGGCAAAGGCTGCACTGACATGAGCTGCAGCGGAAGCACGCCAAGGCCGAGGGCCAGGCTGGACCGCGGGAGGGGACTGTCAATCCCAGAAAAAATAGTCTGCCAACTTTGAGTCAATGTTGGCAGACTATTCTTTCTGGGTCCAACAGAGCAGATGCCCCATTCGTAGTGATTGGGACTCTCAGAGACGTGCTGTGTGCAGATCTCGCTTGCTGGCACGGATCTCGCTTGCTGGCTCTCACCCACGACTTCCCGCACCTCGGACCTGCTGTGAATTCAACCAGCATGGCCAGCAGAGCAGGGAGATAAGTGTGCTGCTGAAACGCGAAATGCTGCTCCTCGGAGGGCTCACGAGCTCCGGTATGGGGCGGTCACTTGTCACTTGAAGTTGCAGTGTCGGCATGCCGCTCGCCAGGTAAATGGATCAGGAAAGACTTGCAGAGCCAAGGCTTTCCATGCATCGCTCCTTCAGCGCTGCATGCTACTTTACTACTAGAACAGCCCTGGTGCGTGCGGTGGCGGAGGGAGTTCAACAGGAGGCCGTCCAATTCTCTTGCACACCTTCCAGGGTTGCCGATGCATAGTCATAACCCGTCATAGTCATCACCTCGCAGTACATTTTTGCAAAGCACGACAGACAATCCCCGGTAGATTTCCATCATCCACGTGGGGCATGGGCAAGGTCAGACTTCTCGTTGGAGGCGAGGGGAGGACTTTCGGAAGCTCCTACCGGTGATTTTTGTCCCGCAGTGCTGGTGCTCTCGACACTCTGTTGAGCTTATCTGATCTTCGGACACACCCCCACCTCAGTCCAAGTTCTTCTAGTTCTGCTGGCTGAGTTTACAGTGACACCATTCCCTAATTAGCTTCGGGCAGCAACCATCTGGGACCAATCTTGAGCCCGAGCAAGCTACTGCAGGAAAGATTCCAGATTGAATCAGTCGGCATGCAAGCATGTAGTCAGGACCTTCCCTGTGCCCGACCCCCCAGCGAGTTTCCAAGAGCTCGGCACAAATCAACGCTGATGAGGTGCTCATGCCTGTCACGTGCCAAAGCCCGCCTTTCGCCTCTCTAACGCCTACAGGACGGGCAAGCGACGGGGTGCGACAGTTTACACCCATCCGACTCGTCTGCCGCCTGCCTGAAGCAGGAGGCAAGTCGCAGGCGATGGCAACCTTGGCACTGGCCATGCAAGCATTCGAGTTTACTTGCTTGCCAATTTGGCCCGTTCTGCGTTCTGAGATCCTAGGCTTGCTGCATCACAACCCAGAAGTTGCTGCTTCTGGCCGAAATTCTGCGAAAGCCGCCGCGCTGCCTGAAGCAAACTGTAAGCCAGCTGTGCCTGCGATTGCAGATGCCCACGCGCATGACCAGATCAGGACCCGGCAGTCGTGATGTAAAGAGACCAATGGTTCTGGCGTACCTGTCTCAGTCGATGGAACACTAGTGATAGCCATCATTGCGAGACACCTGCTGAAGAATTCAGTAGCGCAAGGCTAAAGTGCCAAGAGCCGCATAATGGTGGGGTACGAGCAGCAGGTGTTCCCGCAAGAGCTCGGTGGCTCACATGCTCTGGTCGCTACTCGCATGCCCTGGCTGTTTTCCCAGAAAGCTCGGGCCAAGCAACCCGCATCAGCGCAAAAAGGCGAGGGAGCTGCGAGAAATGAGAGCAGAGGCTATCGGCTTCTACTTGTAGTATCGGTGTCAGGGGAGCCTCGAGGCTCGTTGTCAAGGGCACCTCAACGATGCCATCCTGGCCGAGCAGCGGGCCAAGTGCTGGTCCCCCCTATCTTATGTTCGACTGTGGTGACCCTAGGGCTTTTGCACGTCTCTGAGATTTTGCACCTTGTCGCCGGCCTTGAACTGGAGACTCACCTCCATGCGATGTCATGTCATGATGCCACCAGCCCGTCATATATCGAAGCGAAGGCTGGGATTCTGGCGGCCCGGAGCACGGAATCTTGACGGTCGGTCGCCAATACACAGAAACCACGACTGGCATTCCATGAAATGCATGCTGCATGGTCATCGATACAAGGCTCAGATGACCTCAGATGGACCTGAGGCTCAAACTTGATAGCGCAAAGCAGAGACCGCCCACCAGCATAGTCGGTGTGCTTTCCAACCACCTCATGGAGTCATGTCTCCTCCGTGGTGGGGGCAGGGGGGGGGCAGGGCATGAAATCCCGAAGCTGACAGCCGGCCTCGATGCGGCCTGGAATCCAGAAGACTCGACAAGGCCTCTCAGTTTCGGCTGTGGGGGACTGCAGGATCGCAGGACGCGCTGGCAATGGCAAGGTGGCAAGCCCACGGCACAAGATCCGATGCTTCACCCCCATAACACACTGCTGAGGCTTAAGCATGCCACAAAGTAGAGAAGACTGTATCGGCCGTAGATAGATAGCTGCATGGCAAGAGCAAGGCGACAAAGGTATCCTTCATGCATTGTAGTCATGAGCGAGCGGGTCTCTGACGTTGATTGCTGAATGTCGAGGTCGAGCAACCGCTTCGCAGCCTGCAGTCGGCGGTGCCGGCATGAACCACAAGTAATGCTTACCTCTTAAATGAAAATGCCTGAGCAACAACAAACGCCAGCCACAGCAGAAGGCAGGTGCCTGGACAATCAAGCTAGACTTCTCGGAAATCCACGACGGCTGAGATCCTGAAGCCCCAGGTTTGGCTTTCTGGGTGCCATTCAGTAGCAATTCAGTCTGTTACGCGCTGTGCAAGCTAATGCCCACACTTGCCCAGTGGCAAGCCAAGGCCATTGTTTGAAACATGTCTCCAGCGTCAGACACTGGCTGCTAGCTCCTGGCGGGCCGCAGCCCTTGAAGCCGCGTTTTAAAAGACCTGGACACCACGAGCGGGCATTTCACGAGCCAGAGGACGGCAGACCGCAGTCGGCGAGCCATCCGCCGCAGCATGAGGAGCAGCACCGTCCCAGAGACGCGGAGGAGGAAGACCATGATTACAAGCGCAAGGGAGGGGAGTGCCCGATAGCGCAGGCGCTTCCACTGGCTCCGCAAGATGAAGTGCAGCGCACGCCTTTCACGCTGGGCCCGCTGCCTTTGGAGCTTCTCAAACTCTTTGGAGCCGGCAGGCGGCTCTTTTGCGATGCTCCTCGCGGATCTCCCGAGCGGCCAAACGCGGCGGATGTCCAGCTGTTTCGCGAGCCAGGATGCTGCTTGTTTTCGCAATGAGCGTCCCTGGTTGGAGGCCAGGTAAGCGAACAATGCCTTGATGTCCACGTCGTAGGCGAGTCGTCGCAGGCTGCGGCCCTCACTGGAGCCCAGTAGGCCCTCTAAAGGCTTGAAGCCACTTTCAGAGGCGTAAGGTTCGTCGTTCTCATCCAACAAACTCATCTTCGCATCTTCATGTTCTGCTTCAACACCTTTTTCTGGCGTCTTCAGCAGCCCTTCCAGCTCATTCCACTTCAGCTCTCCGTTTTCGGTCAGCACATTATTCCGGAACGCTTTGCGAGAGGCCGCCGTGCTTGGCGAAACGATACGGCGCAAAGTGATGGGCAGCGCTGTCGTATAGATGTTGAAATCCGGGTCGTATTGTGCTGCAATTCCCTCCAATGTCACGAAAGTGCGTGTCATCAGCACCACATAGTCTGGAGTCAGCATAAGGAACCGGTTTGACAATCGTTTCAGTGCAGCTGCCATATCGCCGAAACGACTCTGCGCATCACTGTCGTCTCCAACCTCTTCAGCAAGTGCGGCCACAAATTCATCGAATGTGCTCTCTACCCACAAGGGCCGCGTGCTGTTCGGTCTCAAATTCTTCCGGACCTAAGACACATCTAGGCACTAAGCCAACCCGAGCGGCTCGTCCGTGCTTGGGGCTTAATCGGCTTAAACTACTCAATGACTAAGGCTCGGGCAGGATTGGGCACAAACTCAATGACTTGCATGGCCTGTGCCAGCTGGGTCCAGTTCCGGGCGACAACACTACGGATTCCTTCAGCAAAGCCTTCCATGACTTTGGAGTCCACCCTGTCCATCAATCCGAAGTCCAAAAAACAAATTCTTCCGTCGTCCATATACTTCAAGTTCCCTTCGTGGGGGTCTGCGTGCACAAAACCAGTAATCATCAATTGCACCAGGCATGCCTCCGCGGCCAGCTGAACCGCTCTGTGCCTTAACCTTTCAGGCAGGTCCTGGAAGTCTAAGCCATCTGCCCACTCGGTGCTAAGTACACGAGCATCTCCCAGGGGACCGGTGTATTCCCGCACCCATGCAGGCGCAGTGACGAATCCTAACCACATGTGCTCACGCACGAAGTCTTCCATATTTCGCCCTTCGTTGTGGTAGTCTAGCTCGAGAAATACGCCAGAAGCAACTCCATCCGCGAGCTTGGCAAAGTCATTGAAAGATCCAGTGACGAGCCTCTGAATCTTCAAGCCTAAGAACCAGCAAACCCAGTCACATGCCACCAGGCGAGCTACGCCTGGCCGCATGACCTTCACGGCGATATCCTTTCCTTCCCGAGTGGTCGCCTTGTAAACCTGGCCTAGGCTAGCAGCTGCAACCGGCTTGCTTGAGAAGGCCCGAAACAGGGGAGTGCAGTTCGCTGAAGCATTCAGCCCTAGGCCCTCAGGACAGACGTCTGGGGCCAGAGGGCCAGTGTGGCCCAAGTCTTCCAGCACGATGCGATGCGCTATCTCATCGGCGAAGGGCGCGCTCTTGGACTGCAAGGTCTTCAAAACTTCGGCTGCCTCCTCCCCCACGATGTCAGGGCGCTGCGCGAGCGTCTGACCGACCTTTACAAAGACGGGGCCGAGCTTTTGTAAGCTGCTCTTCAAGTGCTCTCCTCGATTTTGACCGTTCGGGTCTGTCCAGGTTTGCCATGTCGGCCAGAGAACCCCGCCTATCTCGAAGAAACGCCGCAGAATCAAGTGAGGACGCCAGCTGAAGAACCGGAACATCCGCTCCTTTGAAAAGCCTCCACGGAGCAGTTCCTCGTACTCTTGATCCTTCTTCTGCTGGAGCAACCAGGCCTCCACTGCAGGACTGACAGGAGTGACCAAACGCCCGACACGCTTTGGTGCTCTGCGCCGGTCATTCTGAGACCTGTACCCTGCAAAAGCAGACAGTCTCAAAGTGGCACAGCTCAGGATACAAATGAAAGCCAGAAGCCACCTGTGCCTGCCATGTCTGGTATGGCATGCCATGAGTGTCTGGTTGATATTGCCACACTCTCACTATGGACTGGCGTTTCGTGGAATGCCGCGTCTTGCGCGCGTCAAAACCAAGGGGTACATCAGGTGAAAGTCGTTCATGCATGGGACTGTGCTCGGGCTTCGGGCTTGGCAGCTCATTTAGCATGCTTGTGAATGTGTAGCTGTCATGTTGGCTCCAGCTTGACATCAATTGAAACCGGTCTTCTGAGAGCCCAATGTAAGAATGTGAGGCGCATGCGAGTGGGGGGGGACTTCAGCCTAAGGCAATCCATTAATCGCATCGCAGTGTAGGTCTAGGGTCAAAGCAGCGGACAGGTATCCAAAGTGGGATGTGTTACTGTTACATCTCCTCTTAGCAAATTAAAGCTGACTGGACCCACCTGGGCTTGCCGAAATCCGAGGCTAGCAGTCTTGCGACTAGTGCATTTCCCAAAAATGCTCCAAACCCGGATCGTTGGGTGGAACTCCGCTCTGTCCTTCCGTGTCGAGGAGATTGGCCAGCCTGAGTTGAGAGATTCTTCAGCCGCACATGTCAACCCCGCTTTGTTTCAGTCTCAGCCAAGTCGTGCGCCGGCCCAAGCTGAGTGCCATTAGGTCGTGCAGCCTAGATTGGAATCTCAGGAAGTGCCGGCTTAAGCTTTGCTATGCTGTTGCCAATCTTGCTTGCAGGTGTGGATGGAACCTTGTCGTCACGTGTAGCACCACAGATGGCCAGGCTCGTGTAACTTTGTGCCGACTTTGGCATGCCAAACATCCTCTTTGAGCCTCTCTAAGGGCACCTGGCGTGTGAAAGCGGGTGCGGGAGAGTGTGCCGTGCGGGAAGAGTGGTAGTAGGGCTGGCTGCTCCATTTCCCGGATCCAGCTTCTGCGTGCAGGCACGAGCCATGACAGGCTGCACGAACCTCGATGACAGTTTTTGCCAGCCGAGGCCGGGCACCCACGCAAGCAAATGCCCGAGCAAACGTTCCTGCTCCAGCTATGTAGATGCTTCTCTCGGTCGCACGTTTCTGAGCACACGGATTCCGTGAAGGGCAATGCTGTACAGGAGTTCAGCCAGTGCAGCCAGCGTCTCAAAGGCCTGGCATCTCACAGGACCAATGCAACCTGAGGAAGCTTCAAATGCTGTGAGCGGTGAGCACTCAGGCCTGAGTCAGGAGGGCTTCCCTCCCAGCGATCGATTTTGCCATCGAGGAAATGACCAACATACACCTTGGTGAGCTATGTCGTTTCTGTTGCCTACCTTCATCCCACCTTTGGAGCCTTTAGTGAGCCTTGTGACTTGTGACTGGTGGAGAAATGTGATGCTCAGCTTTGAGAGCTGCGCAGCATCGTCTTGATCTGTGAGAATGCCGCGACCATGTTGACCGCCGGCCTGAACAACCAGGATAAGAGGGGAAAAACCCACACTCAAGCCGTCCCGCTCAAGGGGGCCTTCCACGAGCCTTCATAGCTCTTCCACTTCCCAGATGTCCATACCTGGCCAAGGGCAGCTCCGCGACGAGCGACCCTGAGCCAAAGCCCGCCGGGAGCACCATCTTTCCGAAGCCGTGTCTCCGGTTCGCCTCGAACTGGCCCTTGTACCTCCCGCCACGCTCTGAACGCTCGGACCGCCGGAGCCCGCCGCTGATGCGCCGCGCGGACCGGGGGGCGCACTCGACTCCATCGACCCACTGCATGCAGCCGTCTCCACTCATGCAGTCCTGAAGCTCCACGCTTGGACAGGCAATTATCCCCCGGTCAGCTTCCGCTCCTCCTTGAATTGACCCCGGTAGACTGAGCCGTCCGTTCCTAGGACGAAGACAGGACAGTGGAGCACCAACGACCAGACCAAGGTAACCCTTGTCAGCACTTCCTCTCGAGGTTCCGGCGCACCAGCTCCCCGTCACCGTTTGCACGACCTCTCAACCCACGTCGAAACTCCCTCTATTTTTCGAGCTCGGCAATAATTAAACATGCTTCTTGTGCATGCAGAGATGTCACGAGACTTCAAGGCACCTCGTTCGAAGAGCCCTGTGTACCTACACGGTCAGAACCGATAGATAGCCAGAACCTGATCTGCGCTGCTCCGGCCTGGACCCCTCAGGCCACGTCATCACGCCATGGCCATGACGCAATCCGTGCACCTGCTTTCCGAGTTTGACTCCAAGACTTGACTTGAAGCACGGCTAGCAGGCCCACAGTGAGGCGCGAACATAATGGCCGCGGAAGACGGTCCCATCTGCCCAGTATTCTCTCCTCGGAGAATCATCCAGCTCCAAACTATATGCGGCATACCGAAGCAGTCCGCGTTCCGCGAAAAGGGCAGCCGAGTGCCCGGCCCGGGTCCGTGCCGTTCATCCTTGTGCCACTGGCATTCGTGCTTCGTGCCGTCCTCCAAGAAGCTGGAAGGGGCTTGTTCAAGGCTGCCTTTGAGGTGCTGGTTCTCGTGCAATGAAGACCCTCGGAGTTGGCAAGGGCAGAAGCTCTCGGCAAAGACAAGAAAAATCGCAGTCACATTGCTGCCGAATGCTACCAGTATGTCTTGCTTTCTTCGAATCTGCAAACCACTCCCAGTCCGGCAGGTGAAGCGTCCCTCGGCCATTACGCTGGTACTCGCTGAAGTCGCCTTCTTTCAATTGATCGGGCATGGGTTCTGTGGCACAGTGATACGCCCCCAGCGGAATGTTGGGCCAGGGCATGGAGCTTTCTGAAATCCGATCCCAAACTAGAGCCTAGGCCGGCGAGGGCATACCAAGCTTCGCGCCTTCGTACCAGGAGTGGTTGGGATACGTCACTCTCCTGCAACAGCAACTCTTATCGCATGAGCATGCATGAGCTGTGAGCAAGAGAATTGCATTGCTAAACGCTGCTGCGCCGTCTGAGGCAGCGTGCCCGCGACCCTCTTTCGGCGGCGAAGCATTTGCTTGCGTAGGGGGCTCGTCCAAGTCTGCGTCGCGTGCAGTCGTGGCGGCTGACACGGTGTCAACCTCGGCTCGGAAAGCGCACGGAATGCACCCGGAGAGCTCAGAAGGCCGATGCTGATGTCATCCCGCGGTCGTGCTTGCTGATCAAATACACAAGGAACTGACCGAACACGTCCCGCTGCGAAACTGGCGTAAGAAGGCGTAAGCTGATGACAAAAAGCTTAGGCGCTTGTGCAGATCCCGAATTTCCATTCGGACTTCGCAGGCCGCACCGTTTGCGAAGAGGAAGGAGAAGGACCGAGCGGGGGTGTGCAAGACTAAGGCCTCGGCTGCTTCCAACACGAAAGCATGCCGTCATGGCGCACCGAGATCAGGACGGCCAAACAGACTAACGGAACACAAAGCTTTTTGTCGTCCCATGCGACGATCGAAGCAAGCATGGGGTGCAAACACCCCCTGCACACACCCCTGCCTCCATGCTTGCGGAAGCGCATCTCGTCTGCTCCGCAGACGTGAGCAACTTTCCCGGTCTATGTAAATGTTTCATCCCCTAGTCCGCCTGCAGACTGAGAGCCTTCTGGCCATCACGCATGGCTTTTAGCAGCACGTCCACCTGGCAGGGCCGCAGATTGCCGCAGACCGACAAATCGCTGGAGGCTGGAGGCCCCGCCTTGGAGCGGTCAACGGCCTCCGGTCCCGTTCTCCTGCGCTTCTGTGCTTCGGGACTTTCGTCGACCTTACCGCGTGACTTGTCGACGGTTGTCGAACGGAAAAGCTGAGGCTGGGGACCTGGCCGACCTCTTCGGTACGAGGCAAGCTGGCGCCACATTCATAGATTCTGCGAACCCATCCAAAACAGCGGACGTGTCCTGCCGAGAGCATGGGACTGCCGGCTGCGATGTGAATTTGTATGAGCATATTTGAACATGCTTGCTGTCCTGCTTCTTGCGCTCCAGGCTGTTGTAGATAATCTCGTCGGGCGTATTCGGCGCGACCAGAAATTCCACGACCACCTTGCTGTGGGTACTGCCAATGCGATGCGCTCTTGCTTCAGCTTGTTCCACGGACCCCGGGACCCAGTAGAGCTCCGCGAAGATCACCAGGCTGGCAGCTGTCATCGTCAAGCCCTCACCGCAAGCGGTGATCGACAACAAGGCAATCCGGCAGTTAGGATCTTCTTGGAACTGCCTCACAATCTCTTGGCGTTTTGCCATTGGGGTGCTGCCGTCGATTCGTATGAAGGTACAACTCATCTTGGGCAGGTGCTTCTTTAGAAGCTCCGAGATTTCGTCCAGCATGAGCTTGTGGTGTGCGAAGATGATGATCTTATCGTCCACCCGCTCAAGCACTTCGGAAAGGTACTCTTTTACAGCTTTGAGCTTGGCCTTCGCAATCTGCATGAAGATATCGGAGCTGTCTGGCTTCGAAGGGCCATCTCCGATGAAGTCATGGAGATCATCGGACTGAACGCCGCGCAACAACTTTCCATCAACGTCCAGCGGCACACGCTGGCGTCGCTTCTCAGGAAGCTGCGAGAGGACTTCCTTCTTCTGCCTTCGAATCATGATCGTGGACATGAGGAGGAAATTCAACTCTGCAGCACATCGAGCACCCACGACTCTGCTTATTGCACGTCCACCATGGAAAGACTGCTGCTGCATAACGCAATATCTTGCCCGGAAGTCGACAAGCCTCGCCACGTCAGGAATCAAGCCACACAGCCTGAGCGTAGTGTATGTGATTTCGCACTCAAGTCCTAGAGTTCACAGGTTTACAACGGGACTGCAATAATTTTCTTGCTTCTGTAATCGATTCGTTTACGAAGACCTATACTCCCGCTCCCGCTACCACCACCACCACCACCACCACCACCACCACCACCACCACCACCACCACCACCACCACAGGACCACCACCACCAGACTCCCACTACCACGACTACTAATATTATTATTACTTCTGACTGCTACTATCGCTACTACTACTACTACTACTGCTACTACTACGACTACTACTACTACCACCACTACTACGACCACCACCACCACCACTACTACTACTACCACTACTACCACTACTACCACTACTACCACTACTACCACTACTACCACTACTACCACTACTACCACTACTAACACTACTACCACTACTACCACTACTACCACTACTACCACTACTACTACTACTACTACTACTACTACTACTACTACTACTACTACTACTACTACTACTACTACTACTACTACTACTACTACTACTACTACTACTACTACTACTACTACTACTACTACTACTACTACTACTACTACCACTGACTACCACTGACTACCACTGACTACCACTACTACTACCGCTACCACTACCAATACTGCTACTGCTACTGCTCTGCTACTAGCAGTACTACTACTACTACTACTACTACTACTACTACTACTACTACTACTACTACTACTACTACTACTACTGCCCCACCACCACTTCCTCGAATGGAGCTTACCGCAGCAGAACGCCATACTATCTGTCACGTCACAACCTGATTCGTGGCCACGGAGCTGCGGATGAAGCTCGTCGGCAGAATTCCTCGTGGGAGTACCCGAGAGCAGAACTGCACGCTGTGCCTGGCGCAGCAAAGGGACCATTGTCTTGGTCCGTGCGGCACCCCAGTCCTTCATGTTGTGACTCTCGTCAGCAATCACTATGCCGTGCGGTGTTCCGTCAGGGCGCTGTGTGAACTTCCCTCGGTTGGCATCAGATGCCAGCAGGTTGTAGGAGATGATCCACATATGGCATTCGGGATTCAGGGGCTCCGAGCCTTTCCGAATCACTTGCACATCACAGGGGCGTAAGACCCCTTTTAGCCATTGCAGCGCCTGCTCCTGCCAAACCCATCGCAGTGACGAGGGGCAAACGACCAGAATGGGCCAGTTTTCTCTGTACTGAGCCGCCAGAGCCAGTGCTTGAAGTGTTTTTCCGAGGCCCATCTCATCCGCGATCAAGACACGGCCGGCCTTTTCCATTCCGAATTGTACGCCCTCAAGTTGGTACGGAAGTAGCTTCGGTGGCAAACGGGCCTCCTGCACTTGATCGCCCCCAGCACGTCGAGCTTTTTGTAGCATGTTCAAGACCCAACTCGGAATGTGTTCCACTTGGCCAAGCTCCTCCAAGCCAGTCACAACAGCCTTGTATTTGTGAAGGGGAAAGTGCCAGGAACGCCGGTCAACTCCGAGGGATGCGCCCTCCTGTCTTCCCACGGCTTGCCACACATGCGGTGGCACAAACACCGGATCCTTGCTACCCAATCTTTCAGCGCGCACAAGAAATTGATCTTCCTGGATGAGCTCGCAAACGAGTGTGATGTCGGCTGCAAGCTGCCCTTTTTGTGGCGTGGCCAATGCCCGGGGAGCAGAGGCAGCGGCTGGAGCTTTAGGCACTCTCTTCTGAACCCTTTGGAGATACTGTTGAAACTCCTTCAGCTGTCCATTCGGGTTTTCCATTGTCAGCGCCCAGTTGCAGTAGCTTGCATCCGTATTCGCCACATCTTGAAAACTTCGGCCTCTGTGCTTCCCAAACGTGAATGTTTGGAGAGGCTTCGGAGGTGCTGGCGTCTCGCCATCCCCGTTCACTCTGAGAGCCATCGCAGCAAATCTTATTTTGTTTGGCCGTGGGATTGGTTTCTTGGCTTGTGTGTGTCTCCATGTGTGTGCGTGTGCGTGCGCTTGTTGTTGTTCACGTTCCGCAATTGTAGGCTGGAGTTGGTACCAACCAGCTGCCCTGTCGTGTCTCTGAGCGCCTTCACGGCGACTGAAATGAATCCATAGCCAAAGTGCGCGAGACCCATGCCGGCCACACAAAGCTCACCAGAAGCGGACGCTTAGAGAATGAACTGAGCAGTCTGAGCGCAGGTCTCGACAAGCCAATTCTTTCTCATGCCTGCGGTGCAAGCTTGCAGCGACTTGCAGCGACTTGCAGCTCTGAGGCAATAGAGTTAGAGAAAGGCAAGCGCAGTCAGAGGCCTGGCATTTTGTTGCCGAAATCGAACGAATTCTGAACTTTCAAGGTCCTGATCCGAGCGTCCACCAGAGTACGGCTACTGCCATGAGCTCTGGGCCTTGCAAACGTCGACTAAATCATCCAGCAGGATGCCAACCGTCCCACCGCGGCCTGCATTCCAGGGCTGCACCTAAACCGCCGTACTGAGCCACTCAATTAAGCGCCTCCATGGATCTCTACCATGAGGCTCCTGAGGCTGGTGGGCACTTCGATGCTGTCTCCGGCGCGAAGCAAGGTCCTGCAGTCGACCAGTAGGCGGCGAGGATAAGGCTTCCCGTTCGTAGCAACCTCGCAGAGTCTTCGGAGGCTTCAACTAGGCTTCAAGGCACGCTGAAAGGTTGTTTGACCGGACTCCCGGAGCGCAGGCCTTTGTGCAAGCTAAGCCTTCCTTTGAAAGCAGGCTGGACCAGCGGCGGAACCAGGCATCATCTGGTCTTGATGCGTCCTGTCATCAAACACTCGCACTTGCCATGGGTCTGCCCCTGAATCTGCCTACGTCGCGATCTGTGCTCGGTGAGTGCATGATGAATGCTCTCTATTCTCTCCCTCAGGCCTGATGAAGTTGGTGCAGCATGCTTTGTCTCCCACCTTGGAGATCACGTCGAGATCAACAGAGTTCGGCAAAGTGAAAGTGAAGCCTTGCTGCAGTCTGCAATGCTCGTCCAAGAGCCACACCTCCTTCTTTGCACTCTGCTCTGCTGTGCCGGAACTGGCTTCAAGCAGCATGCTCACGCTGCAAGACAATCAAATGTGAAGGTGCCGCCGCCAAAATGACACACGAGACTGGGAATGAGCCGGGCCACGACACGGTGGAAAAGCGACCTCGGAGGCAAACTTTATTCTGTGCAGAATAAAATCTCAGGAGACAGAAAAGAAGTGCTTGTCGCAGGCTTTTTGCTCGTATGCACTTCGTCGCAGTCCCTCTCTGCCCGGAGTGCAACCAAGAAAGGTCGTCGACACTGATGTCATTCAGAACACGGCAGTGTCGGGGCAACGCAGTTGTTGCTAGCCTGTTTTTCAGGTCGCATTGTCAAGCGAAGCTTTCTCCATGTTCAGCCACCGGATCCTTTCGTGGTAGCAAGGGATTCGAGTAGCTTCGCAAGCACACGGTGGAAAAACTTTACGAGTACGTCGTGCAAACCTTGAATCCCGACTTTGCGTGGCACCCGTGAGCAGAGTCGTTGCTCTCAAGGACCCTGAGTTTCACTGTCGAGATGGATGCTCCGGATTTATGGGACCGGTCAACATTCAACTGGCCGATCTTCAACGTCTCGTCCACGAATGATGCAAAAGCGCCGTCAGCCAGTGTGCGAGTCTGTTGCGACACTGCTGCCAGTGATCCCTGTGCCAACTCGTCAATCGTCTTCTCATGCTCTTTTTTGTCACCCATGCTGGCATTCACGAGCCACGCAGTTTGCTCAGGAGTCAAGTCGCGGTACCACGCCTCTTGTTGGTGGAGACGTGCGTGATCCCCAACAAATTCCCGTTCCGAGCGGCGCAAACACTTCGAACACCCCGTCACGAACGCGCACACATAGTACCTCAGATGCTTCGCTTGCTCACTTGCCTGCCAGTCAGGTACTGCGCCAACGAAGAAACCAGCCACTTCGGAGTCGCCATTTTCCCGCGGCTTCGTGCGAGTGTCCCGCGTTTGTTCGCACGAGGATACGGTAAGAGAGCATCCGGATTTTGCTTCTTTGAGGGGAACGCAGAAGGGGGCAACGGTCTGTCAGGCAAAGGTTGACCCTTCGACGAAGTTCGTTTTTTCAAAAACCCTTCGGCGAACTTCTGCGAACCTTTTGGGGGTTCGTGAGGGGTTCGTGGGTTGTTCGGGTACGAGATGAAGTTCTTAATTGTGGTTGAAAATTTGCGAAGTCCGGCAAGGGTGCGATTGATAAGTTGAGAAGGATGGGCAGGACACGATTGAGAATTTTGGACATGTGGGCGAGGCTTCCACAGGCAAGCATGGGATTCGACGAATTCTTATTGAGGAATTACCCAGTGGACCGCCGATTAAAAGCATCAATGCTGCTGATTGTGTGTAAGACATTTGCTATACCTTAGCAGAAAACAACAGAGTTTCTGTGCTAGTATGCTATGTGTTGTGGTATTGGGTGAATGTTTGTTCCATGTTTTCGTTCTTGTCTTGTGATGTGCGCGTGAAATTTGAGCATTAAGGCTTGGGCAGAGGACGCTGTGGGAACCTCCATTTGAAACTTTTCAAGACTGTTACTTGACACGGAAGCAAGATAGAACATAGTAAAAGCCCAGAGCCAACAGGAAAGCACGCACCAAACAGCGCTTATATAATAGTATTGTCAATGCAATTGCTAGAAATTTATCATAATTTATCCATGCTGCTGCTTTTGCTGCTAGCAATAATGTGCGACTTTGACACTGGGCAATACAAATACCGATCAGTAAATCGGGTTGTTCTGAAGGAGACAACTCTAAACGGTTTATACGCGATCGTGAGTTATGTAGATGCGGAAATACCATACCAAAATAAATGCAGGTTAGGCACAGCAGCAACTAAACGACGTACAAGCACCAAAACTTTCAGAGAACGCAGGACAAAATTTAGTAATAAGTGTCAGTAATCATAATCTTGCTGATAAAGTAACTTCGAAGCAGCAAACCATGTAAACACACACACATCTATAATAACACCGAAATAAACAATCTTATTGCTGTGTAGATGGTAAAGCACGTAACCCCAAAACTCAGATCAAGGCTAATAGTACAAAACAAGTTTAATTCTGTTTAAAACCTAGCTATTCTACCCAATATTAAAGGATCATACAAGATGGTATGCTAATTAATTTCACGTTATTCCACTAAAACGGAAACAGATTCAAATATCTGAATTGACAACCAGGCATTCGCTCCCCACATTACCCAACGATTATGCTGCAACACCACAGGTAAATCTCAGTTCTTTATCAAAAGCTGAAAATGATGCTAATAGTTGAATTCAAAACGCAGCGTTAATCTCTTGTGCAACAACTGCAACATAAACAACAGACTGAGCATCAGGGCGTGCAGGTTCCAACTTTCCGGCTTTCACCATAGTAGCAGGAGCAGGTGGCGGCACGAGCAACCCCATGGAATGAGTAGGTAGAAGCGAATATAGGAGATACACACATGTAAGCCAATAGAACTCGTAGATAGTATTACGAGTATACGAAGAACACACACACACATGTTGCTGAATCCATTGTTTCATGGCAGTTCTCATTACATGAAGCAGGAAGTGCTACTGGATTAACTAGTGGAACTCATGACGACACCGACACAACTACGCATATCTTAGACCATAACATTGCGAATGGAACAGTTCTGAGTAGACAGGTGGTTTTGTTTACCAATCTGCTTTCAGTTCTATGGATGATGGACATGGCAAAATACTACGTTTAACTGCGATAGCACAGCTAATACCATTACCAGATTGTGACCAGGTATATAGTTTAGCAATCATAGAAATTAGAATTCAGAAAGCAAACACAAACGAAAATTTACACCGATAGGACGAAGGGTGGATGATTTAGAAAGTAGGGATGATACAACATGAAACGGAACAAGAGCAACAATTGCACATGACAGCGGATTTGACTGTTACAGAACGCGACAGAGGCCAGTGTGGTTCAACTGTAAAACATGCGCAGGGGCATGATTTTACATCATTTCCACTAAGTGCATAGGTTACAGTATATGACATTACAAATTCCAGTGGAACAGCAAGCTTTAATGAAATTCTGTTGACAACAGTGAATTAACACGTAGCCAATGTTAAGTATATAACTGATGTAGTTGGGTGTTTGCTGGCCCCGTTTAAGGAGAGTTTTTTTAGTGTGTTAGGTGAGGTTTATGGTTTTTATATGGTCCCGGACAAGTTTCAGGGTTTGAGGTGCTCAAGGTTGGCTTGGGGTCCAGGGTGTGACAAACGAAAGCAAGGTCCGCAACGTGAAAAACTAATGCCTTGATTTTTACAAGCCTGAGGCCTTAGTTGCCTTTCTAGTTCTGCCATAATGGGTCCGATATGCCGAAGTTTCCGTCATACCGTCATAAGTCAGCAGGAGTGTATCGCTCAACAATGCATTATATATGTTTGCGGAAACTCAATAGAACATGTCCGTGACACATGATAAGGATGTTCACCCAGTTGCGGACATCAGTAGGTTCCACTTAGAGCTGTCCCGTCTCTGTTATGCTTCGGCGAGGGGGGGATTGGGTTGAGGGGGTTTCTGACTTCACGTGTAGTATCTTGTATATTCATCGGAGCTGTTGCGACATGTACGTGTTTCTGCAGGAGTAGTGCGATGATTTGCTTGTGAGCTTGGCATAATGTGGGTGATGAAGAATTTGACGTGTCAGTCGTAGCTATATTGGATAGATTGAAGCTAAGCGGAAAGTTGCGTGAACAAGCTTGTCGGTTTTTATATCGTTATCCCGTTGTTGGTATCCTTTAACAAAAGAAACCATTGCGCAACAATATTTAGGGTTGGTGGTTCTAAGCCAGGTGTTGGGCGTGGAAAGCAAACAAATTTCGGCCAAGGGGCTGGTCATGGCTGGCCGGACTTTGCGGAAAAGTCTCAGGTTCTCAGAAATTGAGGCATGCGGGTTCCAAGAGTTTATGGTTGTATTGGTTTAGTTGGCTAGGTGCGTAAAGGTTTGGATTCAGGATGATTCAGGTATATAGGCATCCACATTTAACTGAGTTTATCATGTTCGCTTCTTCATGTCTGGCATGTTCGACTCAGTCGGGAGGGTGGACGGGGGCTCGCTGGACCATGCAAAAGTTTCACCGGAACAATAGAACTTCAATCCGAACGAAGCCCTTTCAAGACTTCATCACCTTGGCAAACCCGCCCTGCGAAGCCAAGTGTTGAAGCCGTGATTGCCATGAGATCAAACCAGTGAACACTCAGAAAATCTAATGCCTCAGCCAGCAAACCTGAAAATAGAAACGCCAGGGGTTATGGATTCAGGTGCCGGCTAGGGGTTCCACAGAAAGGTCTGATTACAAACTAGGATGACCGTGTTCTGGTAAGGCTTGTGACTGATGGTTTGTACGGTCAGGACTTTCGGCTTGAGACGTCAAGCACTATTGCAGGTTTGGAAGTTTGGGATTGCGATTGACGTTTTTTTGTGCCACATGTGCTTTTGGTTGCATGATTGCTTCGGGAGCAGGCACCTCAAAATGCAATGTTTGTCCGAGTGTGACTGCTGAAAATGCAATAGAAGGTTCTGACAACGAAATGTCATATCAACGCCCGTAGGAAGGCCGAGCATCTTCAACAGACAGGTAGCACAGGAGCCCCAAGTCAGTAGTTGGACGCATTTTTGACAGAGATGTTTGTGATGAGAAAGACACTTTGCTTGGAAACGGTTGGGATACCACCTAGTTCAACCGAAACCACAAGCGGTGTCAAAACGTCAAGTCAACTGCGGACCAGAACGGAAAGTCTGATCATAATCAAAAGGCGTCTGAGCAAAATCAATAAAAAAAACTCTGCAACTGTAGGACTATTATCGATTTTAAATTGTGTTTGAAACTGCGCGGGTAGGTCTCTTCGCCCCTTCTTTGTGATTGTCCGTTGCTGATGTTTCAAAGGGCCTGGAGTAAGGTTGGCTGGATTGCACAATATGGGCCCCAGATGGTTTCAAGCGGCTTGAGACCAGTTACTTACCAGTTTTTGTTGTTACCAGTTTTTGTTGGGTTCGGGTGTTGTGGTTGTATTTGCTGGGGCGTGGGAGCTTCAGGGTTTAGGAAGTTGAAAAGGTTGAGGCATTTTGGGGCTTGCGGTGCACGGTTGCAGCGG